TTTTACGAGGTCTCTAAACCTCCACAGCTTCGAAAACCCCGTGGAATTGCTTTTCCGGCAAGTCTCCGGCGAAGCTTCCTCCACCGTTCTACCTGACCACGAGCAATACGGTCCCATCGGCTCCGATTCTTCCGACGCGGCGGCCGTGGATTCCTCGGTTTCCACGAAGAGCTTCTTAAGAGGCGAACGGAGAGACTTCTCCTCCGGTTCGAAGAGGAGATTCCGGTTAAAGAGAGGGTAAACCGGCCGGATCTGACCGTCTTTAAACGCTTCTTCCGCGGTTATCGGTGAATTCTCAGCATTTACACTCGCGAACGAGAACTCTTCATCTTCTCCTTCTTCTTCATCGGACTCTTCTTGATTCCACCACGATTTCTCCAGATTATTAAGTCTGTTTTTTTCTTTGTCTTCTTCTTCTTTCTCTGTATAACCGATCTTCAGTTTGGAGCCAAAATCATTGTTTAGTTTTCCGTAAACTTCGGCGAATCTCTCTCTTCCGACGAACTTCGGCGGCGGAGATGAAGGAGAAACAACTTGCATCTTTTTAAAAATCAATTAAATCCAAACACATACAATCAAAAAGTCTCTGTCTTTCTATGAAAAAAAAATCTGAAACAGAGAGAGAGAGAGAGTATTGAAGAGGTTTGATAAAAATAGAGAGAAGCTTTGCCTCTTTTTATATATGGTTGGATATTTTAGCTTCCCCAAAATCTGCTTTTGTTTTCTTGTTTTTTTTTTCCCCTATTTTTATTTAGCTTTCGTTCTTTAAAATAATTGCCAAACCGTTGGTTTATTCGGTCAAGACTCGAAGTTGAACTTGATATATTTGGTCCACTGTAAATTACTGAAGTTTATCAAAACAAAACAAATCAAATCTAAACCAAGTCAATACAGTTTTTTTCTGCGTTGACTGAATTTGGATTCTAGAACAAATCAAAACTAACAAAACGTGTTCTAAGAATTCGAATCGACCTTCGATACATCGTAACGTTCATAGAAAATGCATTGATATTTTGTTATAGAAATATTCTTCGTAGATTATTAACAAGTTAGAAGTTAAATCAAAACACTCAATAAACCAAACGTAAGCATTAAGATTGGACAGAAGTTTTCCATTTATGGTGATTTGGACACAATACATATATGATTGGACATATATTTTATTATAAGCAGCAAAAATCTCATTAGTTAAGTAACTTCAGATCCTCCAATCAAATTACACAAATACTTCAACCGTTTTAAAATAAATATCGTTTTAAAGTTTTATTTGTTTAATAAAGAGTATCGTTTTGTATTTTTAATGTAATTTTCTAAACAAAAATCATGTTTTAATTTTGTTATATTAATATATTAATTAAAAAAAGAATATTATTTTATGTGTAAACGAAAAATAAAACAAAATTTTTAATAATTTTTTTAATTTGTATGAATAATGTTAAAATGACAATTTATTTTGAAATAGAAAGAATATGTATTTCTTCCGAAAACCTATTTTCACAAAATTGACAAAAAAACAAACAAAACCAAAAGAATATTAAAAGCGCGTGATTGTTTGAGAAGCAAAAAACCGGACTTGTTCAACGCCCTGACATGTGTTGTGTAGTGACATGGAAGGTGGCTTGAGGTCCACGTGTTGACTTTGCAGATCAAAATGAGATCCTCGAGAAGCTCACTTTTATGGATGGCTGTTCTTGTGTTGTGAAGTTGACCCACCGATTCGCCTTTTGTGACCGTTGACCATATGCGATTAGCATTTTCCATAACGCATGAAATTATTCGGCCTGTGTTATGGACTCATGGTTTATAATTGTGTAACTTTGTAATAGTGTGTCTACGGTTCTAATTTCTTATAGTGGTTTAGTTCTTGTTTTGTAGATATTTTGTGATATTTCGTAAGCTTGGCCTAGGATTTTCGGTAGGCCTCACTGGTTTTGTCGAGTTCAAAATAAAGTTGTGATAATAACATGCAGTTACCTACAAAAACATTACATTACTTTTTTTTTAATTTAATTATCGTAACGTATCGCTTTTGATGCAAATATAATACCACGTCTAAAACTAACAAATATATTACCCTCCGATCAAAATCGCCACGTGTTGGGTCATTAAGTATCCACATACATAAGAACGGACCGACCAAGAGTTATGAGAATGAAGTGGCAAGTGTTAGGCAGTGTATTGATCAATTTATGGTGTGACATAAATGGAAATTGGTCGCTGTTGGTCCGCATGTGGCTCACCCATACACACTCAATCATCGTGCACTATGATTGTAGTGTTTTTAATATTAGAATATAAATAAATGAAACTATAGTATTATATTATACTATAGTGTTTTACAATTCTACAACTACTCGTTGTATAACGGAAACGCATTATTGCCGGAATCGTGTTTCGTAATTGGTAAAGATAAGATATATATATCTTGAACATTATTTATAAGAGATATTTTCAGGGAAAGATGTGAAATTTTACCAAACAAGTTGTGTAACATTTGAAGTGAACGATAAAAATAATCTTGTATTTGAATTGAGCCTCGTAATAGTTGAAGTAAATTAATCTCACGTAAATTATCAAACGAGTATGATTACTTAACCCATAAGTTATAAGATTATCTATTTACTTAATATATATTTATAGTCTAGATTATAGTATAAGTAATTAACATACGTGTATTCTTATAAATAAAAATAAGAAATTTTAAAAGTCTCCATAAGTATAAAGAGCTGGAGAAAGTTCTCATATATGGAGAAGAACGTATGCGCCCAAATATAGAAATGATTACTTAATGATCGAGAAGATAGGTAGAATGTGGACATCGAGGATATAATGTCAAAATCATTCTGAATTAAATACCAAAACCAAAATATTTACGCGTTTATCGAATTTGGTGATGATGCTAAAAAATTGCTGATGATCATCAAATAAAAAGTCTTGAGTTCAATTCGAAAAAAATATATTTAAATCATATTCATATATTACTCTTTTTGTTTCAAAAAGAATATCATTTTGACACTTTTCACACATATTAAAAACTTAATAAAAAATCTTTTTTGTCCTTCATAAATACACTAAACAGTTTTCTCTTTCTAATTAATACACTAAAATAACAAAGTTAGAATTAAATTTTTAATTAAAAATTTGCATTGGAAATACAGAACAATATTTTTTGTGAAACAAAAATAAAATTCTAAAACGATAAAAAACTCTTTATAAAACGGAGGGAATAATATTTTCGTAAAGATCAACCAGTACGATCATAATGAAATGGTAAATGTGGTTTCTAAATATCAAGCAATTAAGACATGTCATTTTCTCGAGAATAGACCTTATATCGTAATTAGTGGTATAACACTTTCATATTATGAATTTGACAGCTAATCTTATCTGAAATTAGAATGTCTAATCAAGATAAGATGTCCCACACATGTGCTTTCGATAAAGTCCATAAAATCGACAGTTCCTGTACAATAATTTTGTTTTGTTTGCATTGAAATGAGAGATAACTTTGATACCCAAAGCCGCCGCAAATGCTAACATGTCATCGAGCAATGTTAAAAAAAAAAAAAGTCATCTGGCTTTTGTTATGTACATTCTAATGAGAGATTACAACAACTTATAACAACATAATTCGTTTTAAAATATACTAGCTCTGAGTCGATTTTCTTCTTCTTCTAGATTTTGACCCTTAATTAATCTACTTTCTTAGTTGTTTATTCTCAATCTCAAACGTCATTGAGATATCATTGACTATATTGTCAACGGAAATCATTGACTTATGCTTGATACTCAAGCACATATAAATATATACAAACAATTTGGATGCACTAGCCTAATCAAATATTATATGAGTTGTAGTATACCTCTGCAACTTCTCTGCGCAGTTGGACATTTGACCACACTAATAGGTTTTGAGGAGTTTAATAAAGCTTGTAATTGTGTACCTTCATTTTTTCAAAACTTAGATTAGATTAAAAAAAGAAAAAATCTAGGGTTGAAACCGATTTTTCTACTAGATTAACGATTTAAAGTTTTTGTGAACTTAAAATTGGAGATTTCATGCAAAAGTTGAGATTTCTTAGCCTTCACTTAAACGGTGTTGCTAAAGTTGATTAACCGGTTGATCATTTTAGTCAAATGAAAGTTTGATTGTTTTGGTCCTATTTTTAGTATTTTCAAGAAGTTTCCATTCATTTTTACTTTTTCCATATACTGTATTGTTCGTTATTATCTATTAAAAATATCAGTAGTGTTTTCACTATGCATCATTCTTTGTGCCCGACTTTGAAAACATACTAGTTAGATAAGATAAGACAAAGGAATGGTTGAACCGGCCGTTAGTTCCTGGTTTAATTTATGCTGAACCAAACACAATCTCGGTTTTATCGCTTTGAATATTGAGAAGCACCTGACACTTTTGACTAGTTTACTTCGGTTCTTCCTATAAGGATTCTGATGATTGGTAGTGGATTTAACTCCGTTGCAATGCAATAAGGAGTCGATAAGGGAGAAACATTCGTGTAAGAAAGAACATTATTATACACATTCGTCACAAGAGAAAAGTATTAATGCATTTTACAATAGTTTTAGTCATATTGATAATGTCATTATATATATATATATATCATTTGATTTTATATTGAACTGTCTATCATAGATTTCTCTGAAATTTTTTATATTCTTTCATTTTATAGAATAATATTTTAAAAAAAAAAAAATCTAGATGATATACATGTTTCAACTATATATAAGATCAGAAAAACCACATTTTAGAGATCTTTGATACAACTTAATAATACACAGAAGAAGAATATAAAGGAAATAATCGCTATTATTATTGTACAAAATATATAGTACTATAGTATAATGAAAAATGGGTATATTTGTTTAATTATTTCCTCAAAAAGACAAAAAAGAAACGAAAGAGAGGATCCAATTGAAAATCGGATTGGATATTTACTAAATCAAGGTCTTGTTGTCTGGTCAAATCACAAAAAGGGAAAAAAGTGAGAGAAGAAAAAAAATTTGGATTGGAGACATTTGCACTCCCAAAGGGATCCTCACCTTTTTTTCTATGGCTGATAGCTTCGAATCTTGCTTTCCCTCGAGAATCACGAGATCCTCTTCTCCTTCTACCTCTTTCTCGTAGCTTTCCTCCTTCGTCTTCGTCTTCTCCTCTGTTTTTCTTTTTACCCGAAGCAATTCGTTAATCACAACTCAATCTGGCTCTGAACAACAACAATAAAGGTTCCATTTTTTGTTTTGTTTTCCGCTACATTTCGTCATTTGGGTTAATGTTTTTGAATTAACAATGCGAATTTGATAAATCCACCGGAAAATCGTGTTGGGTTCGGAAGAATGATATTGCTTATTATTGATTTTTTCTGCATGAATTTTAGGGAAAAAAAATGGCTGGTTCATCGAGCAAGAGATTTCCTCTCTACGCGAAGGAGTATGAGCTGTTTGAAGAGGTAGGCGAAGGTGTTAGCGCCACTGTGTACAGAGCACGTTGCATTGCTCTAAACGAGAATGTCGCCATTAAAATCATGGATCTTGAGAAATGCAGGAACGATTTGGTTCGTATCTCTCCATCTTGAACAGAACAAAAAAAAACCCAACCTTTTTCTTGCTTGGCTCTGTCTTATAATAAAAAAGGTTGTTGCTTTTCACGCAGGAAACAATACGCAAGGAAGTTCACATTATGAGCTTAATCGATCATCCGAATCTCTTGAAAGCGCATTGCTCTTTCATCGACCGTAACAGCTTGTGGATCGTGATGCCTTACATGTCAGGTGGATCATGCTTTCACCTGATGAAATCTGTGTATCCAGAAGGTCTTGAGCAACCTATAATCGCTACTTTGTTAAGAGAAGTTCTCAAGGCTCTTGTTTATCTCCATAGACAAGGACACATCCATAGAGATGTTAAGGTTAAGTCAAACCTTTTTATATTCTCACATTATCATCCGAAAAATCTTCTGAGGAAAACAAAAAGTCCTTAAAAAGATTTTTAAATTCTTAGGCTGGGAACATATTGGTTCACTCAAGAGGTGTGGTTAAGCTTGGAGACTTTGGAGTTTCTGCATGCATGTTTGATAGTGGTGAAAGGATGCGTACGAGGAACACTTTCGTTGGAACTCCTTGCTGGTGTGTGTGCTCTGTGTTTCTTAATATGTTTTTGTTATGTGTTTGGTTTTGTTTTAAGCTGATGTAAACTTTTGAGTCTTTAGGATGGCACCTGAGGTTATGCAGCAAGTAGACGGATATGATTTCAAGTATGTTTATTTTTCACTTTTCTAGTTTATCTCCAAAGCAAATGAAGAGAGTGAGTTATTGATTTTTTTAAAAAAATTTTGGCATATAATAGAGCAGACATATGGTCGTTCGGCATAACTGCATTGGAGCTAGCTCATGGTCATGCCCCATTTTCGAAATATCCACCTATGAAGGTTGAGACTTTACTGTAAAAGTTTGCTGTTTTACTATAGTTCCTTTGACCCAAGTGTCTCTTACTTTCTCAATTGATCTCAGGTGCTATTAATGACATTACAAAATGCTCCCCCAAGACTTGACTATGACAGAGATAAGAAGTTCTCAAAGGTGAGTGTTCAACATATAAAAGTATGTTGATTTCATTTTTCTTTCACTGAGAGAGGAACTGTTATATCCTGTTTGCAGTCGTTTAGAGAGTTAATCGCAGCTTGTTTAGTTAAAGATCCCAAAAAGCGTCCAACTTCAGCAAAACTTCTGAAGCACCCGTTCTTCAAACATGCTCGGTCTACAGATTACTTGTCCCGTAAAATTCTTCATGGTCTTTCTCCACTTGGTGAACGTTTTAAAAAGCTGAAGGTGTCTGTTGGAACTTGGAATCTTCATTTACTTACCCTTTTTTTATATATTATTAGTAAGTGTGATTTAAGCTTGTGAAATTTCTCTTATGTTGGCTCTATAGGAATCAGAGGCTGAGTTGTTTAAAGGTATAAATGGTGACAAAGAACAGTTATCTCAGGTATACATACCTGCGATCTTTTCATTTGCACATACAAAGATAATCCATATGTTCAGATGCTCATTTAATCCTATGTTGCTGTCTTATAGCACGAATATATGCGAGGAATAAGTGCTTGGAACTTTGATCTTGAGGACTTGAGGAAGCAGGCATCACTTGTAAGTAAGGTGATCTATTAAGAGTAAACGTAAAAATTAGTGTTTTAATTATAAATCTCTCAATGCTATCAGAATCCAGATGATGAAATGCGCAGCTCAGAGATTCAGGAACTGAACGGTAATATCGAGCTTGATGTACCAAAAAGAAGGCCAATGGTACAAAGGTCAAAGACTATGTCTTTGGAGATGTTCAAGATATCAGATCAGGCAAGTGTCTTGTCCTCCCTATGAAGGCATCATCTCTGTGTTCCTGTTTTGTATTCCAGCTAAACCCTCTTGCCATTGTTTTATGTCCAACTTTCAGGATTTGATGAGTGCGAGTCACAGTCTAACAAGTGGTGCAATACTTCCTTCATTTCATCGCAGGTTCCTCCCGGCTATTGGGTACGTTACAACATTTCTCTTCTCTACAAAAGTAGATCATGACTAAGAACATCCAAAGTTACAGATTTGAAAATAAACATATTTGAGCAGATATCAAGTGGCCATCCTTTCTAATGAAAACAATGCAAGTTTCTCAAGCCAAGGAGCTGCAAAGACACTCCCTCTCGAAGAGCCACTTCGAGTAGAACCACTAGCGGATACTAAGAAGACGCTCGTTCATGAAGAGCCACATCGATTAGAACCATTAGCGGATTCCAAGAAGACGCTCGCTCTTGAAGAGCCACACCAAGTAGAACCACTAGCGGATACGAAGCAAACGGAAAAAGAAGGAAGTGAGCAGGTACATGTTTTGGGATTGCTTTGGATACAAAATGTCATGCAGTTCTTGAGACTGTGATCGTAATGGTTTTCATATTGACAATAAAAAAGGTTTCTTTTCAGGAGAAACCAAAAAATGGATACAGAGTTTGTCCTGTGAACCGTACGTCTTGCACTGAAATCCTCCCATTGTTACAGAGTCTCCTGGTTCAGAATGACATTCAGAGGGTGTGTTTGTCTGTACTGAATGCTTCTTTTAGATATATATATACTCTCCTAAATGGTTATTTGGATTTTATCTTCTGAGCCTTCAGATTAATATTTGTTTTCCTTGGCAGGAGAAAGTACTCAGATTAATAAGATTTTTTGATCGAACTGCTGGTAATGTCTCCGTATCAGGTTCTGTTTCTTCTTTCAAGTAAAGAGTTTTTTTTTTGATGAAACTGGTTTTGATTTTTTACAGAAAATGAAAATCAAATCTCAAAAACCCAAGGAGTGCAGGTTTGTTCTTTTTTTTTTTTTTTTTCTCATGTGGCTTATGTGGGTGTGCCTTTAATTACTTACTAAGAGCATGAAAACTCACAGTTATATCCATCAAGGGAGACAGAATTACAATCTCAGGTTAATTTTTTAGAGCAAAGGTAATAAAATAACCTTATTTCCTCTATTTTTAGAATTAAAATTTGATTAGTAAGTAAAGCTAAGGTGTTTTATGAGTTTTCAGTGTTGAGATTCTTGTAGAGGAACTGAAGAGAAAACAAGAAATAAATAGTCAGGTAAAAATGTAAAATTAGATGTAGGAGTAATAATAAATCATATAATAAAATTTTGACAATAGTAATGTTTAATCCGTTTGCAGCTAGAAGGACAGATCAGATCTCTAACAAGCAGCAACAATAGCGTTCTTTAAGCTTAGCCACGCTCTTCTTTCGTCTCTTCCAATTCTTTTGTGTATTCAATAATTTATTATCAACCCTTAATCATGATTTTGCAGAATCACTCTTTTTTAGCCATTAATCCACATATTCATTCCTATAATCAGATCATCAGGTGTAACAAAAGCAAACAATGGGGGTCATTGGACCATTTAACAAGTCTATATAAAAGTGATTTTTTTTACGAAATCTGATTGATAAACCTTTACATACGGTAACTATATATTTTCCCCATAAGCAATAAAAGTAAAAATGAAAGTCTATTTTTTTTGGGTGATTTTGAGTGATTTCAATTCAACAATCTATATTATATATACTATATACTATGTGTGTAAACGTGTTTCAACCTACTCCATTATGCATCATCTCCATCAGCTGCTGCTTAACTTTGGGCTGATTTGGTAAATCTCTGACGTCAATTTATCTGCCAAGGAAACGAAAATGGGTACACTGTTATTATTTCTACAAAAAATAATGAAAACCAGAGATTCCTTTCACAATCTTATTAAGGTATATAAATTGACTTTGTGCTAAAAAGATCTTCCCAAGAAAAGTATAGAGACCTTGCTCAGTAAGTAAACATTTATTATATTTTAGAATTGACGCAAGGAAAATCTGATTAAGAAACTTTGTTAGAGGAGGAGACTAACACCTTTGATTCTTGATTATATCTAAAAGAAGTTCGTCTCCAACCACTTCCCTCATCTTCCTAACTAGCTCCTCTCTCCTCACCTTCCGTTTCTACAAAAAAAAAAACAAGAACTCAGAGATATAGAAGATCGATCACACATGGATATGATCGATTTAAAGTTTTCGAAAACTTTCAATACCCGAAAATCATCGTAAGTCGTCAAGATCACATTAATTCTTGGAGGGTCGAGTGACTTTGAAAGTATGGATATGAGTAGAGAGAGACTAACACATGGAGACCTTGCTCTTCCCAAAACGACACCGCCTCTACGGAGACCTGAAACAAAGATGAATATAGTTTTCATAATAATCAGAATTATAAGTTCACGCAAAAATTGGGAAGATTGTATTTACCTCTAAGAAGAGGAGATCTGAAACTCACGACATGGCTCGGGAGGATATAAGAGTTCATGGAAGAGCTCCATATCACATACTTTCTCGGATTCTCAAGATTATCCACACCTGAATCAAACTGGCTCGAGCTTGGGTACGATTGCTTAGACCCAGAGCTGATTTGCTCAGCTTTCCCAAGAATCAAACGGCACAAGAGAAGATGCTTAACCCCTTCCTCATCAGATTCAACATCTACACCCCTGAAATGATTTAATTAATTTCACAAATCTGGTTTTTAATTTCTCCAGAAAATGATATATAAAATCAACAAGCGAATTATTTTATGATTAAATCGAAAAATCTTACGCAGCGAGTGAGTATGTATGATGAAAAAGATGGATCCCGACGCCGTGAGATCCGTCGTCGCTCTCGGATCTGTTAACCTCGCGGCTGCTAAACCCGTACGAGACGATGCCGTCGATCTCCTCCTTCGAGCCGGAGTACCATCCGTACCTCACGTTGGCGTCTCCGCCATTTTTCCTCTTCATGGCTTCCGTGAAGACGATAGACGCCGCGAATCTCGCCTTCGCCGTGACTCCCTGCGTCGAGTTCTTACGCACCGCGACGATCGTGGTTTGGTTCGCGAAAGGACCCATCCCGGAGAGGAAACAGTTCCTGACGGCGCCGTACTCGGGGTTTTCTTCGCTGAGAAGAACCGTCGAGTCTAGGGTTAAGTCTCCGGCGAGGTGAGGAGGAGACAGCCCGGAATCGGCGTTATCGGAGAAGGAATCGATGATTTCTCCATTATCTAAACTGGTAAAAGACTCTTGGTCCTCGATTTCCACCTGCGCCGCCATTATTAGAGAGAGAGAGGAGAGAAGGTTTCTTGGAGAAAGAGGTGAAGAAAAGTTTGTTTCAATGGCGGTTTTGATGAGCATATACAGTTATAGGTGGGAGAGAAAGAGAGAGAGAGGGGTTTTAGTGTGGCGGTGTGTGTATGTACGTTAAAAGCAAATGCTTGGGGAACAAGATTCCAACTTCCATGTTATTTATTCTTCATTGACTATTTTACCCTTTTCGCCTCTTAATAGAAACCCGAGATGCAAGTTTCATCACAAAAATTACTTACATGCGAATACAAAACAGATATAGAGTTGATTAATGAATCTAAATCAAATACAAATGCGTTTACATTCGACAAAAGAATATATAAAAAAAATGAGTGTAGATATTTCAATGTCGGTTACATCATATTATAATCAAGTTCAAGTCTACGTTTCTCTTCTACTTTTTTTTTTTCTTTTCTTACAAAGGTTAATGTAAATTTATTCGTATAAAAAATTAATAAATATATATATATATATATATATATATATATATATATATATATATATATATGCCACAATCTCCTCCTTCCACACCACATATTTCTGAAGTTTTGAAAATGATTCGATATAATTATAAGAAAAAGGTTATTCACTAAATTATCTTTGAAATAATATAATTCCAATTGCAGAAAGGATTTTAAAATTGTCAATCATTTTGACATCCATGAGAAAATTAAGAGGCCCAACATGTATTACGGGCTTTAAATCTCTAGTCCATTAATATTGTTTTCGATTCCGTCTATTTGAAGTTTGGAGAAACGGGTTACCGGGTCAAAAAAGGAACCCATTAAGTTTGCGCGGTAACCCGGGTATGAAGGAGAGAGATTTTAAAAACAAAAACAAAGAATATATAATAGAAGAGAGACGCAGTTTTGGATCAAACGGTACACGACGACGTGCCTCCAACTCTCTCTCAATCACTAAATTCAAAACAAGATCATGGAGACCTCTTATAATCATTCCCTCCATTTTTATTATTTTCCTGGGAAAACCAAAGACAGAGAGAGAGAGAGAGGAACTCCATTATCATGTTTGTTTACATTTGACATCGTCAAATTATAATAATAATTCGGTAATGGCAAGCATTTATCCTCTCTCTCTCTCTCTCCAGCTGATTTGATTTCCAGGTCTTCGCTTTATAATCCCTTTTTTTTTTTGTAATTCGAATAATCTTTCTTTAATTCAGGATTTTAATTAGTTGTTTCCAGTTGCAGAACGGTGGGATATAATTTTTTTGTTTTGATTTTGGAGAGAGAAGATATCTCTGCTTCAATGGAGTGAAAATTTTGATTTCAGAAGTAAATTAGTTGTTGAAACAGAGAGATTTAAGGATTTGAGTGTTGTTGTCTCTGGGGAAGAATCAGAAGAAGTACAGTACGAAGAATTAAATGTCTGACTCGCCGGCTTCTTCCCCACCAGCACCGTCCGCCGATTCCGCTCCGCCGCCGGATAACTCGACAGGTGGATCAGCTCCTCCGCCAGCGGATTCTGCGCCGCCTCCTAGCCCACCGGCTGATTCAACGCCACCGCCTGTTTCATCACCGCCGCCAAGTCTCCCATCTCCACCGCCGGCGACTCCTCCTCCGGAATCAAATCCTCCGCCTCCACTGCCGGTTTCCTCACCGCCTCCTCCTCCGGATGCTCCACCTCCAGCTGATCCTCCACCGGTAGTCTCCGCTTCACCGCCGCCGGAGCCAACCAACTCCCCTCCACCTCCCCCGGAGGAGACATTTGAATCACCACCTCCTCCGCCCAATGAAGACGATAGCCCTCCTGCTCCTCCGCCTCCGGAAATATTGTCTCCTCCTCCGGCGTCTTCGCCGAAGGGAGGACCCAAAAAGCCCAAAAAAACACCACCACCATCAGCACCCACCAAATCTCCTTCAGCACCCGCCGAATCTCCTCCGGCTCCTCCAAACGCGCCGCCGCGCAACACATCTCACGCGCTACCACCAAGGTCCACCGCTGCAGGTGGACCGCTCAAGTCGCCATCTCGCGGAGCCCCCAGCGTCGGAGGCTCCGTCCCGCCACCTCCAAACGAAGGTGGCTATGAAGGGAAGACAATGGCCGGAATGGCAGTAGCCGGATTCGCAATCATCGCCCTTATCGCCGTCGTGTTCATAGTCAGAAGAAAGAAGAAAAGAAACGTAGATGCTTATAGTGACTCACAGTACTTGCCTCCTTCAAACTTCTCCATCAAATCAGGTGAAAAATAAAATTCTTGAATCAATCTTTTCATCTTCTTGTGTTCATCTCCAAGATACAAAATTTTAAAAACCCTTTTTGAAAATTATGTAGATGGATTTTTATACGGACAAAACCCTTCAAAGGGATACTCTGGTCCTGGTGGTTCAATGTACAATACACAGCAGCAGCAACAGTCCAATACCGGAAACAGCTTCGGGAGCCAAAGAGGTAGCCAAAGAGGTTATACACAGTCAGGGAGCACACCTGATTCAGCTGTGATGGGAAGTGGTCAGACGCATTTCACCTATGAAGAACTAATGGACATAACCGAAGGGTTCGCTAAACGAAACATACTCGGAGAAGGAGGGTTTGGTTGTGTCTACAAAGGTAAGTTACACGACGGTAAACTAGTTGCGGTTAAGCAGCTTAAGGTTGGTAGTGGACAAGGTGACCGTGAGTTTAAGGCAGAGGTTGAGATCATTAGCCGTGTTCACCATCGCCACTTGGTTTCTCTTGTTGGATATTGCATCTCGGATGTTGAGAGGTTGCTTATCTATGAGTATGTTCCTAACCAAACCTTGGAGCATCATCTGCATGGTGAGATTCATTTTACCACTTTCCTCATCAGAAGAGATTTTCTTGTGTGTTAGCTGACATGTTAGGGTTTGTGTTTCTTGACAGGGAAAGGAAGACCAGTCCTAGAATGGGCTAGGAGAGTCCGAATCGCTATAGGTTCTGCCAAAGGTTTGGCGTATTTGCACGAAGACTGTAAGTTTCTTATATGGCGTGTGAAGGAAACGCTTAGGCATTTCAATGTACAAAGGGAAACTGAAATTGTATGTTTTGTTTTTTCAGGTCACCCGAAGATCATTCACAGGGACATAAAGTCTGCAAACATTCTGCTGGACGATGAGTTTGAAGCTCAGGCAATAAAGAAAATCCATCCTTGTTTTTTTTAACACTTCCTCTGTTTGGGGCTATGGCTATGAAGTTTTAGTTGATGAGACTCTTGATTTGTTCTTATTTTGGTGTTTAGGTTGCTGACTTTGGACTCGCCAAACTCAATGATTCAACACAAACCCATGTATCAACTCGCGTTATGGGAACCTTTGGGTAAGCATTTGAGAAGACAAGTCTTTAGTAGTAGTATTAGGTTCTTGAAATGTTTTCTTGCAAAACTTCAACAACATTTAAATTGTTGAAAAAAGTACATAAAGCCTCTATGTTATTGGACTCTTTGTTATCAGTTACTTGGCACCAGAATATGCACAAAGTGGAAAACTGACAGATAGATCAGATGTTTTCTCGTTTGGAGTCGTTCTCTTAGAGCTTATAACTGGACGCAAACCGGTTGACCAGTACCAGCCTTTGGGTGAAGAGAGTTTGGTCGAATGGGTAAGTACATACTAATGTGCAAACATTCTTCAGTTAAAGCTATTTATGGTTGGCTTTAGTTACTTACAAGACACAATCCATAAACTCACAGGCTCGTCCATTGCTTCACAAAGCCATTGAGACCGGAGATTTCAGCGATCTTGTTGATAGACGGCTCGAAAAGCATTACGTTGAGAATGAAGTTTTCAGAATGATTGAAACGGCTGCTGCTTGTGTTAGGCATTCCGGTCCAAAACGTCCACGCATGGTTCAGGTAACTTTCTTGTAACATTTTCTCCGGTAAGCTATAGAATATATGAGTAGATAAAAACCATCTAGCACGTTTGATAACAATCATGTATATCTATCATGTTTGTAATAAAGGTTGTGAGAGCACTGGACAGTGAAGGGGACATGGGAGATATCAGCAACGGGAACAAAGTGGGACAAAGCAGTTCTTATGACTCAGACGTCATGAAGTTCAGGAAGATGGCGTTTGGTTTTGATGACAGCTCAGATTCCGGGATGCACAGTGGAGACTACTCTGTGCAAAGCTCCCGGAGAGGATCCAACGGAGCCTCTGGTGAGTTCATGAGGAACGAATCTGAGAACAGAAACTTCAATAACCGGCGGTTCTGAGATTCAAAATAATAGGTGGTGAGAACTTTAATTATACCTCTTCTCTTCGGCCTCTGCCTTATTATCCCCTCATGCTTGAGCTCTCTGTACAGCATTAATGCTTTTTTTACTTTTTTGTGTGAGACACATTATGTTCTTGCTTAGATACCTTTAGTTTCTCCATAATATGGCCATTTGCCTCAAAAGACTTATCATAGGTGAGAGAACATAGAAAGCACAAAAAAGAAAAAGAAAAAGAAAGAGTGATTTGAATTCTTGTTTGCTTTTGTTTTGTTTCTCCTTGTTGAGTTCTGATTTTTGTTTAGTGTGATCACTATAATGAAGAACTCCATCTTCTGATATATGAAATTTTTTAACAGATTCAGCATGTAATTGTTACTTTGTCATCTAGTTTTTTTTTTACTTTCATATATATAATTTGAGAACCAAAGTTCCATACCCATATGAAACAAAACCAATAGACCCAAAACAAGAAGAAAGACAAACAGAAATAAACAAGAAAATGATAAAGTCAAACAAGCTTGAGGGTCTCTTGTCTTATTTAGATCATTGTCCTGACCGGAGCTTGAAGTCGGAACCACCGTGTCTGAAGTTAGATGAACTCCATTTTTCCGGTCACTTGAACCTTACTCCATGTTTGTTAACCGGAGGTGGTCCTTTCTTTCCTCCTCCTCCTCCTCCTCCTCCCCCTCTCTTGTTATCAAAACCAAACTCAATATCCCCTCCGGTTCGACCAGGTGGTTTGCTCATCGGACCAGGCCGCTTCAAATCAAACCCAAACTCCAAATCATCACCTCTCTCTCTCGGTTCACGCTCCACAGGTCTGATCTCGCGGCTCTTCTTTGACGACGGTTTCTCATGCTTTGAAGGTTTGTTGTTGTTTTTGTGACCACGGTTGCATATCCTTCCAAACACACAAGCCATTGCTGCCAATATAAGGATGGCGGCTAGAACTATGAACACTGTACCGAAAGAGCCACTTGAACCAGAGGACGAAGGCGGTGCATAAGAAGAAGATGACGAAGAAGAAGAAGAAGAAGAAGAAGATGGATACACAACAAGAGGTTGCTGGAACTGTTGTTGTGGTTGATCTCCCATTTTTTTTTTCTTGGTGGGTTTGGTTTTTGAATGTAATTTTGGTTAGATATGCTTTAGAGAGTTGTGTGGTATTGAAGAGTACTTCAATCTGAAATGAGGCCAATGTATTAATAGTAGTAACACTCTTCCCCAAGATCATTTTCTGTAAATAAAATGTATGCAAGACAAATGGTTCTTTTTTCGAAATAAAGTTTACATATTGCTTTGCTTTTGTGGAAATTATCAGTTTGTTTATTGTTTTCTTTAATTAAAAAAAAAGGTAATGTGGGTTGTTTTTTTGTGTTTGTTATCAACAGTATGGGTTTGTTTAAGAGATGCACTTTAGAACATTTTCTGATTGCTTTGTAAGAAGAGAAAGTGAGATTTTGGTTAAGTATTTTTGAGATGAGACACACACAACTCATTGTTTCCGATAAAGATTAATTTAAAGATTTGATGAGTGGGAGATGCTGCTTTACCAATCATTGACTCTATACTCTTTAGATTCCCATTACCTATTAATTTATACATCTCCTTCTCTGTTCATCTTGTCTCTAAATTTTCAATTCTCCCATTACCTATGTATCTTGTGTATTCTTTATTGTTAAAAACCTTGATTGTTATAAAGTTGTGCCTAAATATCAGGAGAAAACAAAATGATTTTGCATTTTCAAATGAAAAGTGGGTTTATGGATCCACTAATTATGCATAAAATACTTGTAACACCATCAAATTATCATCTTTTGTGTAAGTGTTTAACCTTTCTCTCGTGAATTTCTAACCGGGTTGGTTTAACTTTGGTTTTGTAGGGTTAGAGTGGGGTTCGACATGTGAGAATGGAATTGGAATGTATTCAACATTGGGATTAGTGTAAGACACATTTTGAGTTCTTTCACGCAAATATTTGTTTTTTTTTTCTCTTTTCTTTTTCGTTTTTCTTTCAAACTTTATGTCTCCTTGAATGTCTTTTTCTCCTCAGACAATGTTGAAGTGTTCACAATGTTATTATCTTATCAATCACAGTGGCTTAATAGGGCCACCTTTAAATTTTGAATTTTGATTCTTTATTTGCTTTTCTTTTTCACGAAGAAAGAAAAATATTCCTTGCATAAATTTTACAAGTCTCTTGATGAATTTAAGAATCACAAAACGTTTACTAAACATTCCATAAGTGAATCCTTTATAATGCGTCCACTGTTACGATAAGATTGATTTATCGATTACAATAAATTAAGTACGTGATTATTGCTCTGAAACCGGTTTAGCTGGATCAGTTCCATGTAAGCGCCCATCATAATGGGCTTATTAGCCAACTGGACTTATTACATCACTCCAGCTTTGGTTTAACTAAGAGAGACATTTTTGGGGGTTAAAATTAGAGAGAGATTTTTATAGCTTTTTGCTTGTTATTAAAATTTATTGGGGTTGATTGATAATTATGCAACTAGAAATACAGTAAATTGATTTAATAGTTACACTTTTACTAAATTTTAAAAGCATTAACAGTTAGTAATATCAGAAACCGTACACTCAGTTTTTTTTTTTGTATATCGTTTTCATTTACAACTAGTTCTTACATTTTCTAAATATTTTGGTATGTTTTACTGTCTTCTCTTCCTACCAAGCTTTTTTTTACAGTTTTTTATGACATCAATCAGATCGATTTTGCTCTCTAGCCTCTACAATCATCATATACAAAAGAAGGCAGTATTTGGAATCATAATACTTTCTTGAGAAAAATAAAGAAAGAACATGGTCCAAGTTTATGAGATGATGTTCAAAAAAAAAGTTTATGAGATCAAAAAGTAATTTTTATTCACCATACAGCAAAGGAAATATTAGTGATGACGTTTTCGCCAAAAAAAACGGCACGAAGTTCGCCGAAACAGTGGCGAGGATTTCAACGTTAGCTTCTTTTTCCGCGCTAAGTCCAGCCAGAAAACGACACGTGGCAATCGTGTTCCTCAATAGTCTTCTTTTGTCTACGCAAAAGGGAAGGTGTCACTCTATGACCACCGTCGTCGCATCGCGATTCAAAGCTTGATGATTTCGTCTTCTTCCTCAATGGAATAACGTGTTGCAGCGTGTACCACATGTTGCTTTGTGTGACCAATCACCAACAAAAAAGCTTCCAGACGAGCGATTGGAGTTGGACCCCCTATATAAATCTGTCCTTTTACGCTTTGTCGATCGCTGTTGGAAGATCATCCCTTTGGTTCCTCGATTTCGGTGAGGATTGTCGGGGGGGAACAAAGCTTCATCTCTCGCTTTAGTGCTCATTTGATTCTCTCTGCTTTGGATCTGATAGTGATTTTACAGAGTGCTTTTTCTGGGTTTTGGTGGGTAAAACATTTGCTTCCCATTAGATTTTTCTTAGCTCAATTGCGTAATTAACCTATTCATCTTCAGCTTTAAATGCATAATGTTTTTTTGCAAAGCTTTTCGACGTTTATGGAATCCGAATTCTGGGTTTGTATTTTTGGATGTTTGGCTTGAGCTCATGCTTCAGTATTGTTGTTTGTGATGATGATCGAGCTTCTCTTTGATTTGTTCAGTGCCCTTATTCACTGTGCAGGACATAAATGGGCAATCCGGATTCAGACACCAAGAGAAATGTGGTCTCGAGTGTGTTTGATCCTGCACTCTCTCGATTCGTTGGATTCTCTCAGAAGCTCCATACCTGTTTCAAGGTTAAAACTCTGATTCCACACATGCTTTCAAAGCCCTGTGCTGTCTTTATCTTTCAAGGTGATGAAAAAGAAAGGATTTTTTATTTTATTTTTGCTTTGCTGTCTTTGTCCACAGTCCCAGCTGAAGAATTTGACAGCTGATAAACATGGGATTGGTTCTTCATGGAGGCAAGATAAAGAAATCTCATCAAGCTCCATACAAATGGACCTTGAGAAGCAGTTAGATAGTTGGAGAGGAAACCCTTCGTGGACCGATCAGACCCCAATCATTAAGGTGAGCAAGTAGACTCCATCCACGACACGGTCTTATCAGAGTTAGTGAGAATCTATTGTTATGTAAGAGATGATAAATCTTGGCAGGTGAGTATTCCAAAAGGATCGCTTTGCAATCTCAAAGCGGAGGTGAACGTTGGGTTACCTCCCGACGCAGTCTATAACATTGTGATTGATCCAGACAACAGAAGAGTCTTCAAGAATGTCAAGGTACGTTTTTTATATATATACATATAGATCTTAGTTCTTGGTTAAGAGTTAAGCTCTCAGATTCATTGGCCTCAAAAATTCGCAGGAGGTTATGTCGCGGAAAGTATTGGTAGATGAAGGGTTGAGGCAAGTGGTGGAAGTGGAACAAGCAGCTTTTTGGAGATTTCTCTGGTGGTCAGGAACAATCTCAGTTCATGTCTTGGTGGATCAGGACCGAGCAGATCATTCTGTAAGACCACACCGATGGTAAAAGAGAAAAACAAGTGTTAAAGTCTTTTTCTTAACTGGTTCTTAAAATTTGCAGATGAGGTTCAAGCAAGTGAAGAGCGGGTTCATGAAGAGATTCGAAGGAAGCTGGAAAGTACAGCCTTTGTTTGTGGACGAACACATGTGCGATCGTCTTAAACCGAAAACGCTGGAGGAATATAACAAGTGCACCGGAGGTAGAGGGAGGATCGGGTCAAAGGTGACGCTGGACCAGCTGATACAGCCGGCGATTGTTCCACCGCCGCCCATTTCTTGGTATCTGAGAGGAATCACGGCCAAGACAACGGAGATGCTCATCCATGACTTGTTGGCTGAGACCGCTAGGATCCGCAAACGTTTGGCAACCGGAGAAACGGAGGAGAGTCACTCGCCGGATGAGCAACGGATTGGGAAAGCCGGAAATATAAAGGAAAGATGGGCTGCACACAGAAGAACATCAAGGAAACGGCGAAAAGATTTGTGCTGATTCAGTTCTTGAATAAACCGGTCCAGATTTTTGTATCAGAAATGTCCATGATTTTGGCATATAATATAAATGTTTGTTGTTATAAGATTCAGATTCATATAAGTCTGGGCATCCATTCTTTGTTGAAGAAGTTTACAACCTACTAATGATATGAAGATTCTTTGATTTCAATACTACTAAAGAAGTATCTTCTTTTATTTGTCTAAACTAAGAACATTTGTGGTAAGAAAAAGATGTAGACGCTTGCAAATGAATACGCAAAAAAACAAGAACGCAATACCATTCAATCATCAAATCCAGGTATCTTCAAATTAAAATACACGAAAACTATTATAAAAGGGTTCTTTTCTAGTAACTTTTAGGTACAAGACATCTACTTGCACAATCCGAACATTCACATACCCAATAGCAAAAAGATTCACATAGTATTTAACTATTTATAATCTTCTCTCTTGCATCCAGAAATTTTCCCAAACTCACTGCAGGCAAAACCATCTCGATGCAATGTACTTTTAACTTCATCACGCCTACACATCACAAGCAATACGAAGGGGAATAGATTTAGGCATCGCAGGAAAAAAAAGAATCGAATCCAAAATTTTCTTAAGGTTGTGTTTTGGAAACTTATGTTACCTTGCCGGCGATGTTGTTGGACAGCCATTCCAGACCTTCGTACAGACCTTCACCTGAAGTGGCGCATGTGCTCTGAATGTACCTGTAGATTGCAATAAAAAGACGTAAATTTCAGAACAAAATCAAGGTTTTGTATTCTCGAGACGTGTTAAAGATATTTACTTACCAGTGACGCTGACGCAGGGAGTGAAGGCCAAGCTTATCTGTGATTTCAGCAGCGTTCATCGCATTAGGAAGATCTTGCTTGTTGGCAAACACAAGCAACACAGCATCACGCAGCTCGTCCTGCAAAAAAAAAAATCCGGGAATGGAGTAGAATGTAAGTATATGATGAAGAAAAAACTCTATGAATCATCTTTTAAGATAATCAATATCGTTGGATATAAACCTCATTCAGCATCCTGTGGAGTTCATCTCTAGCCTCAACAACTCTGTCTCTGTCATTGCTGTCCACCACAAAGATAAGGCCCTGAGTGTTCTGGAAGTAGTGCCTCCACAACGGACGGATCTGAAAAGAAGCAAAAAGTTCTTCAACAGTAGCAGAGAGATTTACATTCAACACTCGTGAAAGACACAATCAGCGAAGACTCATAAGATTGCGATAAGCAATTACTTCTGCAAAAAGCTGGATACCATACCTTGTCCTGACCCCCGACATCCCACACTGTGAAACTGATGTTCTTGTACTCCACAGTTTCCACATTGAAACCTGTTGAATACTTTTTTAGTTTATCACCAGTCCCATGGAAGCAATCGAACCTCGAGGTTTATTATACTCTATCACAATCAGAAAACCAGTATCATGTTGTGAAGTGAAGCTCACCAATAGTGGGGATGGTGGTGACAATCTCTCCGAGCTTGAGCTTGTACAGAATAGTGGTCTTACCAGCAGCATCAAGACCAACCATCAGAATCCTCATCTCCTTCTTCGCAAAAAGCCGGCTAAAAAGCTTGGCGAAACTCAACCCCATTTTTTGCTTTCACTGCACCAACCACAACGAGGCAGAAGAGAATCATAACCTCGTCCACATTCTCTACATTACGCGATTTCAAATATCGTTTCTAACAGAGAAACGCATCTATAGTGTCAATTCGATTCTTAACAGTCTTCTAAGAACCTGATCAATACCGAAATGGTCAGTCTAAGTTTTAACGAACACAGAATTTGACGAGATCAAGCAGATCCAAACAGAGGTTGAAACGTCCCTAGACTTCATCATCTCTCTGAATATATCAGATCGTTAAAAACTCAGAAGCTATCAGAAAAAATTACGACGGGAAATATAATTTCAACAGATCCACACTGTTGTAGAGGCTGAACGTCAGATCGTATCAGAATCTGGATTTATTATACGTATTTTAGAAATCAAAGCGCATTATCCATGAATGAGCAACATCAACCTCAACGAAATCAATCCCCGATAATTCCAAACCATCAAATTTCACAATGGACACCAAACTGAATCAGCAAATCACATACAGATCTACGCAAACACACACAAAACAGTCTAAAATCGAGAATGCATGAGCACAGATCCAGATCAAAAAGCGTACCTCTGAAGAAAATACACGCGAGAGAGAGAAGGAAACCGCGAAGAAACGGAGAGCGGAGAGAACCAAAATTTGAAAGAGAGAGAGAGAGAAGCTTAAGAGAAACGCTAAATGCGCGACGACGCCGAGATGGAAAATGGGAAGAAGGAATTTTATAAGGGCAAGGGTACCGGCTCGTACGTCGCTTTTCACGCTAATTAACAATAATGCCAATACAGTTACGAAAATACCCTTTGGAATCTTCGACGACCAAGGGTGCAGGTGTTCGTCAGTCGTCACAGGGGTCTCCTCCTGATATCAAGCCAATTAGAATATGACACGTGGACAATAGCTCTTTCCTTCGGTGCTACTTCATCTCCTGCGAAAATGTACGAGCGTACGTTGTTTACTGATGTTGTCCAGCCAATAGGAAAATGCCATGTCATGATCATCGTTTTGATGTATTTTCAATTTTTAACCACATTATAAAAATAAATAAAAAATCGATTTGGTTTAACATTTTAGTTTGGTTAGTTTCCCCATCCGGGTGACTTGTAAAATTCTAGAAGAGGAAGTTGGGAAAAGAAAAAAAATCATATGCTAACAAACACAAAGATGAACGAATGGTTCAAAATTAATACGTGGTATCAAATACTAGCAATTATGCTTGTCAAGCTCATTGTAATTGCTTCATTTACAAGCTATTGTATAAATTTCACTTGTCATTTGCTAAGGTGAATGCGTAACAACTATGATACGTGTACAACAATCCGATCACCTTATACATCTCGTCTTTAGCTTTTTCTCCAACCATTAATAATTTTCTACCAAAGACTGAGTTTGGTCCAAGCCCTTGTCGTTATGCTTCTACCTTTCCGTCTTTGCCTTCCAATTTTGACATTGTTGAGGACAATCAGAGAACGTAACTGCAAAGAACTGCGTCACTGCACGTGAGTTTGACAGCTTTTGCGCTTATTTTGCTGTATATTATCTTATCGATGTGAATTCCACCGATAATAAAAGACCATTTGTTTCGTTCTTGAGGGTTCTTTCTTTTTTGGCCATACAATTTTAACAATTCTTGAGGGTTCTTGATCTCATCTTTGAGAAATCTGGTTTTTGGGAAGAAGAAACCTGGTTTTGATAAGTTGATGGAGAATAATTCAGTAGATTGATTACTAGTTACCGATTGAGAAACCAATCATTAGAAATCTTGAAAGCTGTAGAAGTTTTTAAATTCATAAATCAATTGGTTTTTACTTCTTACAATTTTTATTTTTTTGGTGTAAAGCAACTCTATTAAACTCGTCTCATCCCTATGTAAATCTCATATATGCATTTTCTGGTAGTTCTTTTGCTTAGAGGCTCAACACCGTAAAATTTATAGCAGTACACACATGTGCACTTGCAATAACATTTGGAGACTTATAAATTTTTTTTATTACTTGCAAGACTCATTCAGCCTCCATCACATCTTAAGTACAGCAATTGCATAATATTCTCAGAATATCTGGCTCATTAATTCAATCTCAAAGTAAGAAGACACCACTAATCTAAAACATATATGCAAAACTTGATTGAAGCTCATCTTCAAAATAAAAACCGAAATGCTCTGTAATGTTTGTTATCTTGAATGTCTTTTATATAAAATATATGCAAAACTTAATCGTTAGATCAATAAAAAGGACTGTGTGGTTTCTTTCCATTAACTTTTTAACATTGTTAGCTTTTAGCAAATTTTACTTGCTCGTTAAAACTTGTTCGTTTTCTTTTTAAGGTGAGACTGCTATAAGATGGGTATAGTTTCACGCATATGTAACCTTAGCACGTACTTTAGTTTTCTAATCGATCTTTAGGTCTTCTTCTTTACCATGAAAACTCATTAGGAAACGCCTAACTATATTGTAAACTAGGCCGACGTTCTAATATAAAAGTGAGAAAGAGACAAGACCTTAGCACGAACGATAATGAAACAGACAACAACCTCTTCTTTTTTTTAAGATGAAAACAAATTAATTATTCACAACGATCGACATCTATAAACAGACAGCTACTTCTCATAAGAAAGTGCTTCATTTACAAAGCTCATCGTGACTTCCATTTTTATAGATGTTTAATCTTTTCTTCTTTTAGTCACCGCTTCGTGACTTCCTCTAATACCAGGTTCAATATTGTAACCGCTACTTTGTAAATTACTAATCAAACAAACGTTAAGAATTGGTAACAATATTTTAATTAATTTTAATAAGGGTACTGAAATTTAGTTGTGTAAAAATCTATCCTTTTTTTGTTTTGCAATTTTTTATGTGAGAAAAAAATGTAAAGTACACAAAAGGAAAGAAATCCAAATGAAAAATTTAACAGCGAGTACTTACGAGGAGATGTGGTTTACTTTATAGTTGCAAAGTAAAATGCAGCACACAAGGGTGGAAAATAACACGTGGCATATTAATAATATCTAACACTACATGATTTTTGTTAGTTTTTTATTTTTACATTTCAAATAAAGACTATGTCCGTACTTAGATTTCGACGGCAAAGACTCTAGTTTTCGTTGCCGGTTTGAGGAAGTTTCTTTCATTCTCGCGCTCTTTGTCTCTCACCGGTGTCGCCGGCCATCTTCTACTTCTCCGGTCTCTTCTCCCGCGACTTTTTTTCAAGATAACCTGGAAAACTTGCATTTGCAAGAGCACGAAAAGCCGTTACCAGCTGAAAAAGTGAAAGCTTTCCCCTTTGATTTTCAGAGCAGCAATTCACCGGAATTTCCCCCAACTCCGAAGCTAGGGTTCGAAATTCTTCAGATAATCTCACTATTCTTCAAATTTTGTTGTATATAAAAAAAAAATTGGGGGTGGTGTTGGAGAGTAAGCGCGGAATTTGATGGTTAGAGCGGCGGAGACTACACGTAGTCTTGTTTGCTTAGGATGACCGGTGCTCTGTTGTGCGATCGGAGAGGGTTTCTTCTTTTAGGTAAAAACCTCTCTCTCATGGAATGGCAGATCTTGTGAGCTACGGTAATGTCGACCGAGACATCGAACAGGTTCTCTCTTCTCTCTCTCTGTGTTTTCTCCAGCTTCATATATGTCTATGTATTGATGAACACAGTCGTTTTGTTGCTTATGGGATATGTGAGTGGAATTTTGCTTTTCTTTTATTGAAAAAATTTCATGAATTTTGTTAGTCTAGAAGATGAAATTTAGATGAAGCTTATGACTTCTTTTTTTTCGTTGGTCATGACATTGAGAGACCTATGTTTCATTGTACTTTCTGTGGCATTGTTTATGTTTTAGGACAACAGTATCTGTTTTCATGAAAATCATGTTTTTATTGATAGCTTCTCTCTAGTTAGGTTTTGTTGGCTTTGAAGAGATGTGTTCTGTTTTAAATGTAGTTTTTGATTTCCACCTAAGAACTTGTATTTTCCTCACCCCAGATCTTCAAAATTACCTTTTTTTCAGGCTCTAATTGCGTTGAAGAAAGGTGCTCAACTCTTGAAATATGGTCGGAAAGGAAAGCCTAAGTTTTGTCCCTTTAGACTCTCCAATGTGAGTGTGATTTAAAATTTTTTAATGTATACATTTGGTTATCGGTGAAAACTGGAGCTCCTTCCTGATAGCTTACCCACCTTGGACATGTAATTTGCAGGATGAGACCTCTTTGATCTGGTTTTCAAATGGTGAAGAAAAGCGTTTGAAGTTAGCAACTGTATCAAAGATTGTTCCAGGGCAAAGAACTGTAACTTCTCAAAACCTTACTTTCTATTTTGATGCAGCAGCATAAGTCTTTTGCTAGTAGTAACATTTTATGGACTTTGATCATGTTTTTTTAATACTATCAGGCTGTTTTCCAACGTTACCTTCGCCCTGAAAAGGATTACTTATCTTTCTCTCTCGTATACTCCAACAGGAAGCGGACTCTTGACGTGGTTGGTGAATGAAACTTAGCTACTCTCTAACTCAAACTTTGTATTGTTCTGAAACTTCTGCCTCTGTAACTGAATGTGTTGCCTTTATTTATCAGATTTGCAAGGACAAAGTTGAGGCAGAGGTGTGGATAGCAGGACTTAAAGCTTTGATATCTGGTCAAGGCGGCCGCTCTAAAATCGACGGCTGGAGTGACGGTGGCCTCTCTATTGCTGTAAGTAACAAGCATATTCATAAAGCCTACAGCTTTCAGCATTATTGATGGATTTAGGTTTTTGCTGAAGTTTGTTTTTGTTTTCATCTTCTTCATTCACAGGACAGTAGAGACTTGACATTAGGCAGTCCTACAAACAGCTCGGTTTGTGCTTCTCGAGACTTCAACACTGTTGAGAATCCTTACAGTTCGAGGACTTCAAGAACTGAGAATTCTGTAAGCTCTGAAAGGTCACATGTGGCATCAGGCAGCCCAAATATGTTAGTACGAGGATCCGGATCAGACGTGTTCCGGGTTAGTGTCTCCAGTGCTCAGAGCAACTCAAGCCATGGTTCTGCTCCAGGTGATTGTGATGCTCTAGGTGATGTTTATATATGGGGTGAAGTGTTATGTGATAACGTTGTCAAACTCGGACCTGATAAGAACGCTAGTTGTCTTGCTTCAAAGTCTGATGTTCTGGTTCCAAAGCCATTGGAATCAAATGTGGTTTTAGATGTCCACCAAATAGCTTGTGGTGTTAAGCACGCTGCTCTGGTGTCTAGGCAAGGTGAGGTGTTTACATGGGGCGAAGAATCTGGAGGACGTCTTGGCCATGGAATGGGGAAAGATGTTACTGAGCCACAGCTTGTTGAGTCTCTAGCTGTTTCTAGTGTTGATTTTGTCGCCTGTGGTGAGTTCCATACATGCGCGGTGACAATGACCGGAGAGATTTACACATGGGGTGATGGGAAACACAACGCAGGACTTCTCGGACATGGTACCGATGTGAGTCACTGGATACCTAAGAGGATATCAGGTCCTCTTGAAGGTCTTCGGGTTGCTTCCGTGTCCTGTGGACCGTGGCACACCGCTTTGATAACATCGACTGGACAGCTTTTCACTTTTGGAGACGGGACGTTTGGTGTTTTAGGACATGGTGACAAGGAAACCGTGTTTTACCCGAGAGAAGTCGAGTCTTTATCTGGTCTGAAGACTATTGCCGTCGCGTGTGGTGTGTGGCATGCTGCTGCAGTAGTGGAAGTCATTGTGACTCATTCAAGTTCAAGTGTACCTTCAGGGAAGCTGTTCACGTGGGGTGATGGTGACAAGAACCGTCTTGGTCATGGAGACAAAGAGCCTCGGCTTAAACCCACATGTGTATCAGCTCTTATTGACCATACTTTTCACAGAGTTGCTTGTGGACATAGTTTAACAGTTGGTTTGACCACTTCAGGAAAAGTTTTCACTATGGGAAGTACAGTCTATGGTCAGCTAGGGAACCCCATCGCTGATGGGAAGCTTCCTTGCTTAGTAGAGCATAAACTAACTAACGATTGTGTTGAAGAAGTAGCATGCGGAGCTTATCATGTAGCGGCTTTAACATCTCGAAACGAAGTGTTTACATGGGGGAAAGGCGCCAATGGGAGATTAGGACATGGAGATGTTGAGGACCGTAACGCACCAACTCTCGTTGTTGCTTTGAAAGAGAGACATGTGAAATATGTTGCATGTGGTTCAAACTTTACAGCAGCGATATGTCTTCATAAATGGGTTTCCAACACCGAACAATCTCAATGCTCGGCTTGTAGGCAAGCCTTCGGATTCACAAGGAAAAGCCACAACTGTTACAACTGTGGGCTTGTTCATTGCCATTCATGCAGTTCCAAGAAATCACTGAAAGCTGCTTTAGCTCCTAATCCTGGAAAGCCTTATCGCGTCTGCGATTCATGTTATTCGAAACTGAGCAAAGTCTCAGAAGCTGGTATCGATAGCAGGAAGAATGCTATGCCACGGCTTTCTGGTGAGAACAAGGACAGGTTGGATAAAGCTGAGCTAAGACTGGCGAAATCAGGGATACCGTCGAAGATAGATTTGATCAAGCAGCTAGACAACAGGGCGGCTAGACAAGGGAAGAAAGGGGACACGTTCTCTCTTAAGGATGCTTTGAGTAATGTGGCTGAGTTACGGCGTGGGCCACCGAAACCAGCCGTAACTCCATCTGGAGCAAACTCAAGATCTGTGTCACCTTTCTCAAGAAGGTCTAGTCCTCCTCGTTCAGTCACTCCCATCCCTTCGACGACTGGTCTTGGTGTTGGTCTTGGTTTCTCAACAAGTATAACTGAGAGTTTGAAGAAGACAAATGAGCTTCTGAATCAGGAAGTGGTCAGATTACGTGCTCAGGTAAATCTTTTATTCATCCGAAACTGTTCTCATATTCTCATGGTTTGGTTTTGAAAAAGCGAATCTTGGATGTTGTTGTTTCAGGCTGAGAGCATGAGGCAAAGATGTGAAGTCCAAGAATTCGAAGTCCAGAGATCTGTGAAGAAAGTACAAGAAGCAATGAAACTGGCAACAGAGGAATCCACCAAGTCAGAAGTTGCAAAAGAAGTTATAAAATCTCTTACATCACAGGTTACTCTCTCTTATATAACTCTCTTTGTATTCGACGACATTTCTTGAAACATGATTTCACACTTAACATGTTTTGAATTTGTATCTTTTGTTTTCAGCTGAAGGATGTGGTTAAGCTGCTACCACCAGGTGCGTACGAAGCTGAGACCACACGTACGGCTAATTTGCTGAACGGGTTTGAGCAAAACGGGTTTCACTTTGGACAACGTCAATCACGATCTGACTCAATAATGAGCGAAACCTCTCTTGCATCGCCTTTGGCTCTGCCCTCACGACTCTGGCGAAACTCACAGTCGCCAAGAAACACAGACGCAAGCATGGGAAGAGACGAGCTTAGAAGCGACGGTGTTCGAATCAGTAATGGTTACTCAGAAGATGGTGACAGCCGCAGAAACTCAAGAAGCTCAGCAGCAACATCGAATGCTTCTCAGGTGGAAGCAGAGTGGATCGAACAATATGAGCCTGGTGTTTATATAACACTACTGGCACTAGGCGATGGAACAAGAGATCTCAAACGTGTTCGCTTTAGGTAACATTAATAGAATCTTTCTACTTTTATTTTATCTCCATTGCATACTAGAGATCTAAAGATTAATAATAGTACCAATGTGGTTTTGTTTGCAGCCGGAGAAGATTCAGGGAGCAACAAGCAGAGGCATGGTGGTCTGAGAATCGAGAAAGAGTATACGAGAAGTACAACATTCGCGGTACGGATAGATCAAGTGTGCAATCCCAATTTCAGACATGAACCTATAACAACAACGAAAGCAAAAAAGCATAGGAAGGAGTTTTGTCTAATTTTGCACTGTATATAGAGAATCTATCGATGTTATTTACAAAGAGTTTGTCGTGAGTTTGATGATTTTTTTTTTTTAAACTAATCGACTCAAACCTGATGTTAACTTTTAATGTGGAAATCGTAAGCTAATTTCATAATGTTTTAGCTCTCTTTCTTTACTACAACACCACTCAGTAACAACAACATCTTATGCTTCGTCTCTTTCCTCTCTCTCTCTCAACTTCATGCCGTTTGGCTTTTTTTATATACTACACTTATACTACACTGCGCGAAGTTTCTCTATTTTCGAGTATGATTCAGTCAACTTCATGCCGTTTTAGCTTTCTGTTTACCACTACACTCTGCTCCATTTCATTTTCTCGAGTATCATCATCGTCGTCTCCTTCTTCGCCTCCTTCAGCTTCCCCAAATCAGCCATGGAAGCGAGAATCTCCGAAACTCTTGGCCTCCCGTCTCCGAATCTTAATCAATGCCTTCTTCCTAACGATTTTAATTCCCTCTTAACTCATTTCTCAAATCTCACCTCCTCCGTGCAAATCCCCACCGTCAGAAACCCTGAAGCCAAAACCAAACTCTCTCGAAAATCACCGAAATTCTCAGAATCATCCACCGGAAGATCCGTTTTGCTCAACGCGCCGTTTGCATCTGCGTCGGTCTCCGATTCCAGACCGGAATTCCTCAAATGGATCAAACCGGCATCACGAAGCAGTCCGAAAATTCAGACACTTACGAAGCATCTCTCCGTCTTCGAACGAGCACTAATCGGAGCAGGAGCGGGAGGAATCGCCGGCGCGTTCACATACGTCTGTCTTCTCCCATTAGACACAATCAAAACCAAGCTTCAGACGAAAGGCGCGTCTCAGCTGTACAGCAGCAGCTTCGATGCTATAGTGAAGACTTTTCAGTCCAAAGGGATTCTAGGCTTCTACAGCGGCGTCTCCGCCGTGATCGTCGGCTCTACGTTCTCCTCCGCCGTCTACTTCGGCACCTGCGAGTTCGGTAAGTCCCTCCTCTCCAAATCCATGGGGTTCCCTCCGGTTCTCATCCCGCCGACAGCTGGCGCCATGGGAAACATAATCTCATCTGCGATAATGGTACCGAAAGAGCTCATCACACAGAGGATGCAAGCTGGAGCTAGCGGGAGATCTTACCAAGTTCTGCTCAAGATTCTTGAGAAAGATGGGATCTTGGGGCTTTACGCCGGCTACTCCGCCACATTGCTGAGGAACTTACCGGCCGGCGTGCTGAGCTACTCGTCGTTTGAATACCTGAAAGCCGCCGTCTTGGAGAAAACGAAGCAGAGCCATCTTGAGCCGTTGCAGAGCGTTTGCTGTGGCGCGTTGGCTGGTGCTATATCTGCTTCGATAACCACACCGTTGGATGTGGTGAAGACGAGGCTCATGACTCAGGTTCAGGTCGATGCAGTGAATAAGCTCGGTGCTGCTGTGTACACCGGTGTGACCGGGACGGTGAGGCAGATCCTTAAAGAGGAAGGCTGGGTCGGTTTTACACGAGGGATGGGGCCTCGTGTTGTTCATAGCGCTTGTTTCTCGGCGATTGGGTATTTTGCGTTTGAGACCGCGAGGCTAACAATCTTGAATGAATATTTGAAGAGGAAAGAAGATTCTGAAGCTACCGTTGATTCTGCTTCTTGAGTTTTGGGTTTTGACATGGCTAAAAGATGAACACAGAGATACTATTCTTGTTTTGTTTGTTTCTCTGACAAAACTGAGTTATTTCAGAAAGTTGAAACTACCGAGTAAACAAATACTTTTTGATACAAATAGATTCTTTACTGTATATATCAACTGTATTTGGTTCATTTCCAAGCTAATACATGTATATATGTCAGTTGCTAAAGATGAATGCGTACAAACTATATTACAACAATCCTCACTACAGCGACTGTCAAAATCCGATCACTTTAAAGCTCGTCGTGAGCATTTTCAGTTTCTTCTCCGACCATAACAGTTTCTGCAAAATACTGAGTTTGATCCAAGCTCTTGTCGTCATGCGTATCCAGACAGTCCGCAGAGGGATGAACCACTCCATAACCAAACCCTTCAGCTGAGTTACAGTATGCTTCGACTTTTCCATCTTTGCCTTCCAAATTCACATTGTTGAGGACAATGTGGCTGCAAGGGACTGCGTCACTGCAGGCGAATTTGATGGCCTTTGCGCTCTTTGTGGTTCCGGTTATGTTTCTATACATTATCTCGGTGATGTGAACCGCTGATGTCTGCAAAACAATTACAAAATATTAGTTTCTTTCTTGAGCTTATCTTTGAGTCTAATGGGTTTTGTGAAGAAGAAACCTGGTTTTGACAAGTTGATGGCGAATCGCAGTAGAACTGATCGATTATAATCGGATTCGCAACGTCCTGCATCTCTACGTTCTCAAAACGTACACCCTTAACGTAACCATTACCACCCTGTTTTTTAAAGATATCATCTTTTCAAATCCTGAAGCAAAAGTATAAAATGGTAAAAAAGCTGAGAAAGGATATCAAGAAATCGAGATTTTCACCTGCCATGTCTTGATTCTTAGACCATTAGTTGTGTTCTTTAGAAGCGCAGTGTCCAACACAATCGCTGTGACGGTTGCTGTAGAGTTTCCTCTTCCAAGGCTTCCAATACTACAGAACAAAAGATTGCAACCAAGAAATCATAGTTTGATTTCAAACTGATTTATGTAACATTTCATTTTTTTTTAAAGTGTTTACCTGATTCCATGTCCTGGTCCACAATAGATCTTCTTCATCTTTATCCTCGAGCTTGCATTCACAATTGAGACGCAGTCATCACCTGTTATCAAGTTTGTAAGTGTCAGCTATAATATTATCATAGAAGATAAAGTATTTTGAGTTTAGTATAAGAACCTGTGCTGATTTTACAGTCTTGGATTATAACATTAGTCGATGCAGTGATATGGATTCCATCTGTGTTTGGACTGTCTCCGGGAGATGTGACCATAACTCTAGAGATTCGAACTGTATGTGACCGAGAAATGCTCAAATGCATCTGTTGGCTGTTTCGGATTGTTAGGCCTCTCACATACACACTTGAACTTGAATCTATGGTCACCGCCTGTAAATATTAAGATTCTTTATAAGCAATCCAACAAAGAAATTTTAAACTGTCGCTGAAGGAAACACAAAAGGGGGAAATATTCATACCGTAGGTGCACCTATGCAAGGCTACAAGAGGAAACAAGAAAGGTATGTGTCAGATTTTAAACTTTAAAACTAGAAGAAAGTTGAATTTATGTTATGTACAAGAAGATGTTACGTTAGACTTGTTCTTCTTGCAAGAAGCAGCCCACCATTTGGTACCAGAACCATCTATAACTCCATTTCCTTGGAATACAACACCTTCGAGTCTTGAAAATTCGAGCCAAACCCTTTGGAATCCCGGGTTCCATTGGCTGGGATCATCTGGTGCCACGATTGTTCCATCAATCTAACAAAATCAAGTTTCACACAGTTTATGTTCCAGCTGTTTTTCAGATATAGCAATCAAACCAAAACGAGTTTGAGATCTTTAAAAAAATGTTACACTTTGACCTGAATAATTAAACTTTCTTGACATGGACCATTGAATTTTGTAGCGTTGACTAAATACCGTCGTCCTTGTGGTACCAGTAACACAGATCTTGGTGCAGAGCAGGCCATCTTCCATGCGCTTACAAAGGCCTGATTATAAGAAGCACATTGCATCAGTTTTGGCTAATTTTTATTTGTATTCGAGCTGAAAGAGGTCAAAACGCACCTGAGTATCATCAGAAACTCCATCTCCGGCTGCACCGAAGCTATCCACATTCACCAGGTTCTTACCAGAAAACTGGCTTGTAATCGAAGAGAAATCAAAGAACGTAACATCATCGTCGATATCATCTTGAGGCACGTCGAGGTTCTCAAGATTCCCAAGAATATCAAGCTCCCTGTACGCCGTTTCTCCTGCAGCTCCATAAGAAGTTAGCATTATTAACAGAGCCAACATGGAAACGATGAAGAGCTTATTCATCTTATGCTTCAAGAAAACGCCAAGAGAGAGATTTTGTTTTTCCAGTTTTTATAAATAAGTAATGAGATTCTATGCAAAAGATAAGTATTGAGTTGTAAGTGAAATGGTACATGGTTTAGATTTATAAGCGGACTAATTAAGGGGGGGATATTTGTGGGTTTTTTGTATTGGCTTGGCTTAAAAGTAAATGAAGAAAATCCTCTTATTTTTCAACATATCTAAACTTTAAGCACAAGGAATGTGTTTAAACACTTCTTTTGCTTTACTCCAAAACCTCTACACAAATATATTTTCCTGGTCAACATAGTTATGAATGTTGGTCCCCGTGACATCTAGAAAACAAAACGATCAGAAAAAAGGACGCAAGAAGCTTTGCACTTTATACCTCGAGATGTTATTTTAAGACGACCATAGTTTAAAAAAAAAGCGAAAATCAAACTGAAGTTGTTGTTAACATAATAATTCTAATGAGAACAAAATCTTCAGCTGGATTCCATTTGCATCTTGTGTCTCTACGATTAAACTTATGAATATTTTCACGATGGTTCAACTATCGTGTACCGCAAGGCTTCTTCTACCCACCCAGACCCTAACATATCGTACCGTACAACAAAAATCAAAACACATGAAGCAGCCAAAAGACCCAATAATCACAGCGAATTGCCTTATTAGGAAATATCAACCAAAGTACCATGCTTATGTTTGTTTTTGCTTACAAAGCTCACAACTCAAACGATCAAAGCTTCAGTGAGAAACAAGAACAACTCAGTGAGCTTACCTTATTAAAATTTTGTAAATATAAAAGAAACAAAATCGTTTAGTTTTGTAAACCATTGTTGAACAAAGTAAGGACGATGTCCATATCAGCCTTCTTGAGGCACACTCCGACCTCGACGCCACCTGATTCGTCACGTCTCTCTGCCATTGAGATTGACTTTCCTTTAATAGAGACCACATCAACCTTAACCGGTTTTCCCCACCCGAAATCCGCCTCGTATACACCCAACCGGGTCGACCCGGCTACTGTACCGAACAGTGAGCTCTTGCCCTGAGATTCGAACCCAACAGCGAATTCTTCCGCCAACGCCTCAATCTTTCGTGAACTCAAGCCTTTGACCAAATCGCTGAGCATCTCCACCGCCGTCACGAATCGTCTCTCTTCGAAAAAATCAGCCGCCTTGCGGTTATATCCACCCACCGGATACATGCAATTTCCGAAGTAGGTCGCCGGAAGCGGCGGATCCAGCCGCTCTCTGAAATCTCCAACGAAAATCAAACCCACGGGTCTCTCCCCGTTTCCTCCACGCGCCTTCACGAGGCAGGTCCACACGTATGCGTAGGCGATGACGAAAGTCGACAAGTGTAGCCTCTGATCTCGACTCGGTGACTCGCTCCTGACTCGCTCCCGGAGTTTCTCGACGTCATCGCGAGACAGCACGAGCGTGCCTAGAACGACGTCGTCTTCGAGTTCTCCGGCGGGAATCGGACTCAGGCTTCTCCTGTTGGTTGATTCTTTCAGAGATCTAACAATCTCGATCATCTGTTCATCGAGTCCGGTTAGATCTTTGACCAACGACCGGTCAAGAGACGGAGTTAGACTCTCGGGTAGAGAGAAGGCTCTGCTTTCGAGGCTCTGTCTGCACAAGTGAGCCCAAGCTTTGATGAACATGCTTGACGTTTTTCCGTCCAAAACGGCGTGGTGTCCTGCGACGCCGATGGAGAATCCCTGGTTCGGGAACAAAGTGATTTGGAGAGAGAAAGCGGTTGCTGAGTCATCGGAAACCGGTAGCTCAGGTAAAAGAGTGCGTAACTCGGAGACTGGACGCTGTTCATAGCTGGAAAGAAGAGAAAAATCAGCGTCGGTTTCGGCTACTGTTACTGAAACGGCGTCGTCTTGAGAGACGACGATGCTCGGTTTTGCCTCGTTTGGCTCCCAGGTGATGCGGCCGGAGAGAGGGAGGTATCTGCGGAGGACGAGGGAAAGGGAGAGCTTGAGCTTAGGGAGGATGAAGGAGTGGAAATGATCACGAGTCGACTCGGTGAGTCTGTAGAAGAAGACTCGCTTGACTGGTTGAAACACTAGCCATGGTAGATCGAGGAAAGTCAGCGGGATTGTGAGCGAGTTGGTTGAGTTTAGATCCGAGTCCGAATCGGCGGCGGGGGTGACTCGGTCAACCTCAGCGACGAGTATTGTCATTTGTCGTTGGTGACTGGTGACGAAGAAGTTGAAAAATCAAACGAAATTCCAAAAACAAATATAATAAGAGATATTTAATGGGAGCACAATAATATTTTAGATCTCTAAAAAAATATCTAGATGGATCTAGTATTGACACTTCTATATTTTCAACTTTTTAAGTTTAATTAATTGTCCATGATGGAGAAATGTGATCAACTTTCAAAAAAAATGAAAAAAGGATAATGGAGAGAAATGGCCTTCATAGTCATAAATATCATACCAACCCAAGAAGGCAAGAAGCAGCAAAAAAAAAAAAAAAAAAAAAGCCGATAATCACAGCGAATTGTTTTGTAAAAACCCATGAATCAGTCGCAAATATTGATTGAATTCGATTATTACGTCCTACTAAATCCGAGCATACATTATATTTAAACCGTCAAAATCTAAGTTATAATTCAAAACATAACCTATGAATATCATTCATTCGTCTCGTCTTCAGGGTTCTTGAAGACATACGTCGTTCCACATTTTCCGCAATAATGCCTATCAAAGTGACTCGCCATGAACGTACCTGGTCCACAACTAACCGAAGGACACTCTTTCCTCAACCTCTGGACCTTACCGGATCCATCGACCTCGTAATACTGCAGAACCGCGAGCTTCACTTTCTCATGCTCGTGCTTAATCTTCTTCGGTTCGGTGTAAATCTTCTTCTTCCGCTTCTTCGCGCCTCCTCTAAGCCTAAGGACCAAATGAAGCGTCGATTCCTTCTGGATGTTGTAGTCGGCGAGTGTCCGACCATCTTCCAGTTGTTTTCCGGCGAAGATCAGCCGCTGCTGATCCGGCGGGATGCCTTCCTTGTCCTGGATCTTAGCTTTCACATTGTCGATCGTGTCCGATGATTCAACCTCGAGTGTTATTGTCTTCCCCGCAAGAGTCTTCACGAAAATCTGCATTCTCTTCCTCGGAGAAAATATTTTCACGGCGGCAACACAGGAAAAAAATAGGGTTTTTATCTCCCGCACGCTTTATGGGCTATGGGCCTAAAGCCCATTAAAGGATGGTAAAGCCTGTAATGTGTAACTTGTCTTCTTCTACTGTCTTCCGCTTATTTTAACCGTTCGATTTGATCACTGGCGCGAATCAATGGCTCTCCAAAGCAATGAAAGTCTGACGAATATAGAATAAACGTGTGGAGTGGCGAGTGAGAGATTTACAAAGAACTCAAATCCAAAATTCTCCCACAAACTCTCCAATTAAAATTTCTTTTTTTTAATAAACGTCAGATTATTCCATATTCATAATATTTTCCCTTTTTCCAAATCCAAATTCATCGATTTCGCTCACAGAATCTGATACCGAAGCGAAGCAAAGCAAAGCATTACTGCAGCAGGTATCTATTATCTTTTTACTCCTGTGTGTTCTTCTTCTAAACCTATTTTGCTTGTTTCACTTTTGTTTTTTTTTTTTGTTCTTTCGTCTCGCTCTGGTTAAGTAAAGAATCTGTCTCTTGCTTCAAATGATATTTTCTCTGGGAAGTTTTAAAATTTTATCTCTCCCTTTCATTTTTTTCTCCTTTTGTTGCTGTTAATGCTAAACCAAAAAAACAAATCCAAAATCGAGATCCTCTAATTTGATTTGAAACCCGTGATGTCTCATCATGCGTTTCTCGCCTCTGCTTTTTCTTCTCTGTCTACACTTTTTCTCTACATGAACTTACCAAATTGTTGTTCGAATTAAAACAAACCTAAACCCCTCAGAAATTCAGAAGAGAGATTTTTTGATAACGATGATGATGAAGAAGAATGTGTTTAGCCGAATTGATCTCTCGAGTTTCGTTACAGGTTCAACCGAGCATACGTGGCAGCCAACAATGTCCGCGGAGACGAACATCCCGAGTTACTGGCTAAACTGGAGATTCTTCCTCTGCGCCGTCTTCGTCACCACCTCGCTGTTTCTGTCTTCTTTCCTGATTTGGAGATACGAAGGACCTCGAAAACGCAGGAAACGTGGTGATCAGAGAGAAGAACTCGTTGGAGGAGGAGCTGTGTACGACGACGAAACCTGGAACACTTGTGTGGAGAGGATCCACCCGAACTGGCTTTTAGGTTTCCGCGTCTTCGGTTTCGTTGTTCTTCTCGGGCTCATCTCTGGTAACGCCATCGCTGATGGAGCAGGCATTTTCATCTTCTACACACAGTGAGTTTCCTTTTTTGGTTATTACAAAAAAAAAGACGATTTTAAAACATCACTTGTTGTTGATTTGTTCTTTATGATCAGATGGACTTTCACATTGGTCACAATCTACTTCGGGGTATGCCTTTTCTTCACCTTGTCATCATGGTACTGCATATGCTTTTATCAATTCATCAGAATCAGATTTTGAGTTTAGTTTTCATCAGTAACGTTGATTTTGGATGTGTTTCTGTATGGAATCTTGAATTGGAGTTGAATATAATATGCAGCTTGCAGCATTGGTGTCAATAAACAGATACAGATCTGGTGAGAACTGTCAGAACGGAGTCAGTAGAGTAGATGAAGAGCAAGGCTCTTATAGGCCTCCCGTGAATGGGGAGAACTCGAATGTGTTTAAATCTTCTAATGGACACAACGGATCTTCACGTCAGGTTGCAGCTACGTTAGGTTACATCCATCAGATTCTTTTTCAGGTAAGTGACAAATGTGTTAACTTCTCTCTGCATAAAGTTTCCCTCTGTGTGTCTGAGCATTTTTTTTTTTTTTTTTTTGGGGAATTTCAGACTTGTGCAGGAGCTGTATTGCTTACAGATGGTGTGTTTTGGTTTATTATCTACCCTTTTCTCACATCCAAAGATTTCAATCTCGATTTTGTAAGTTTTTAAACCTCACAGTTTGTAAGTTTGTCTCTGGTATGTGCTTAAATTTGACCAAACGCTTATACTCTACGTACAGTTCATTGTGATTATGCACTCGGTCAATGCTGTTTTCCTCCTTGGTGAAACTTTCCTGAACTCTCTGGTTAGTGTTTATGCTTATGTCAACATTAAAACATGATGATGACGATCGTATTCATAGTGATGATGACTTTGATGAATGATGATGATTCTTTGTATCCAGCGATTCCCATTGTTCAGGATTGCGTACTTTGTGGTATGGACCGGCATATTCGTGCTATTCCAATGGATTGTTCATGCTTGTGTCTCCTTTTGGTAACAATCATGGTTCTATCTCTCTTTACATATATTTTACTGGCTTAAGCTATTGAGCTATGTGTATATAAAAAAATGTTGTTATATCTGTTTGTGCAGGTGGCCTTACCCATTCTTGGATTTGTCATCACCCTATGCTCCTTTATGGTACGCTACGCAAACTCACTGCCTCAGCTCCTTATGTAGAGAGAATGAAACTCAAATTTTTGGTTATCAAAATCTGAATTCGGTTTTTGGAGATGTAGATAATGAAAACAGCTCTAGATCTTGAATGGACTTAAGTGTGCATAGTAAATGTTTAATGGATTTTCCAGGTACGGGGCTGTTGGGTTGATGCACGTACCGTGCTTTGGAATCTTTGCTTTGATCGTGAAGTTGAAGTACATGTGGCTCTCAAGATGTTTCTCAGAAGAACCATAGTAACAAATATCATATATACTCGAATGGTTATATAGTCTCTCTCTCTCTCTCTGTTGAAGATAAAATTACAGACTCACATGTACAGGTACAGGTTTTCTCCTGCCTTCTGTATCAATTTTTTTGTTGTAAATTAACATTCAAAGTTCCTTTTATAGGAAAATATATAAAATCACAAAGCCACTCACCATGTTTTTCTGGAGGGGGGCATTACTTATTAGGCGGTTTTGATTCGTTTTCTAAATTCTAACCATACTAGTGTATGCCCAGTGGTATGCACCGAAAAAATATTTAATAATTTACTTTGATAAAATTATTTAAATTTCTTTTTTATGAATTCAGTAGTTGATAAGAATTTCTTCTACTTCTACTGCATGGAAACAAATATAATTGAACATATATATTTTAAATGTACATGTTAAGTAAACGTTTAAAAACTTTCAATCAATTAAAAATTAAAATTAAATAATGTTCTAAACAAAGATTTTTAAAACCCATAACTTTACTTTTTCTTATTTATTTTAAAAATAATTTCTTCTTCATCACCCTTCTTCTCCTCTCTCTAAGCATTTGATATGATTGTCCTTGTATGTCATCTTCATAAAAAAATTCATGATCAAAGCATTAGGTTGATATTCAGACACTTCTCTTTAAGCGAGATTACATCTTTTCAAAGTAACATTTTCGTAATACTACTCCATCGTAACAGAAGTGCAGAAGTGGATATCTATAATACATAAGACAAAATATAATGTTTTCTCAAAAATACATATATTCAGTAGATAATTAGAGAAATAACAGTTGAATTTCATTTGTAATATGTTAGAATGTAACTTGTTTATGAAAGATAGTTATGAATGAAGATAGTTGAACTTACTTATCATATCAATATCAAACTCTACAATCCATGACCGAATAATCTTTTTCTTCACCATGCATGTTAATGTCGATTGTTCTGCCAAAACCGTTTTATAATATATGTTATGGTTAATCTTCATCTTCTTGTTTCTGTTCAATTAATTAATTAAATATAGAAATTGTGGTGTTGAAAATAGTAATTATATTAATAATGGGCAAGCAGTTACTAATTTTAAATTATTTTTTAATTTCTTTTATTAAACCAGAAATATTTAATTGATTAAAAAAAATTGTGAAAGACATTTGACACTTTTAGATTGTTGACTGACTTGTGTTTTATAAGTATAAAGATGTAAAAATAAGTTTTTTAACCGCGAATTTCAATCGTTCCCACTACTAACAATGCTAATCAAAGTTAAAAAAAAAAAAAAAATAACAAGTGAAATCCAAGCCTAGTGATTTGTTGGTTAGTTAAAATATTGTTTCAGGTTATCGAATCTGAATTTGAGTGTTGTTGTTGATTCACACGGCTACGCAAACAAAAAACAAAAGCAACGAAGGGCCGGTCCCAGCAAGATTCTCTTTAATTTTATCAGACCGGATTTGAAACGGAGACGCTAAGTTCCATTAATCTAATTTTAATTAGCTAAATTAATCATATCTTGTCTTTTTTCCCACCATTTAATCATTCATCTCTTGTATTGGACTCTTTATTTTGAACTTAAAAAGAAGCGTCACGGGAATATAAGACCATTTCGACGGTCAAAGACAAAATCTCTTCGCACTAATTTTTTTTTGAGTGTGCAATTCTTCGCACTAATTATATAATACATGATGGATGTAAGGTTATATGATATAATAAGATTCGTATTTGGTAGTTGTAATTTGTAACCTGTAGGTGATTTTCAGAAGGTAGACGTGGACCAAACATAACATCCTGTCACTAACGTTAAAAAAGCAACAGGGTCAAGTTTTATATTAATGGAATGAAATGGTTTATGCATTCGTATAGTAGTGCTCCCTTTTGCAAATTTTAAAATATCTTCTAAATTTATCTTTAAGAAAATTTTGAACCGAAAGTTTAAACTTTCTAATTAACAAAAAAAAAAACTTTATAATAAAGCACAAGACAAACTTGTCGGCTCCTGCCGTTTAATTTTTTAATTTCAATTTGAAATCAAAAATTTATTCAAATGATCAGAAGAAAAAAAATCATAGCTCTCAAACTCCCCTCGGTTCCTTTTTTATTTTAGCTATTTATATAACTTTCAGTGAAATTTTCACGAATACGTGTATTATAATGTTAAACTGTAAAACTGAATATTAAGCATAACTAGTGCCAACTGCTACACGCCGCTTATACTCTCACCGCTGTGATTTGGCAATCATTAATTCATTATTTGGCTTTCCAATAGTTACTAACAATGATGTGATTCTGTTAATGTGGTAAGTACAACATAATGATAAAATGATAATATGATAGTATGGTAAAAATTTCAACATTGTTGAAAATATGTGGTCAAATTCTTTTGAATGATGAGTTAAAGTTATAGAAATGTAGCTACCTAAAACTAATCGATCCACTAACTAGTTTTTTTTTTAGACTTAGTCATATTTTACATATAACATAAAACAAAAACAAAAAAAAATCAAAAATTGTTGAGCCCTACATTTTGGAGAGAATGAAAACCATTTTCCAAATAAAATGCGGTTGAAACTTACCAGTTCTATTTTTCTAAGCAACCATCCTAGATTTGTATGTGTAATCATTCTAATTTATTTAAATTATATATTGTGATATTGACTGAAATTATGTGTATAAGCTTTTTAGCTCCTTTTAAGCGTGGTGGTTGTGATTTGTGAGCTCTACCAATGAAAAAAAGTCAGCTAGGACTTGCACTTTTGGAATAATACAGTTAGGTTTCCATCGTCAAATGCGTCATACGCATAACCAAAAGGCTATGCTTATCTTATAAATATAGAAATAATTGTTTTGGGTCAAAATGAAGATACATACACAAAATGGTGCCACGTTAATGAAGAAAGATTTGATCTTTGGCAATCTTTAACCTGAGTTAATTAAATAAAACTTTCCATAAATGTATCTTTTGATCTCACCCGCACAGTTGGAGCCCAATTTCCTTGCTCTTATAGTTGACTCAACTAAAAAAAAAAATATTTAAAGTTTTTAGATTCTTTCCTTTACATGTATTTTTTTTTCCTTCGGATGTAAACAAACCATGGAGTATTTGATAGTATTACAGAATTATTGGTGTCAAAAGTTTTAAATGATCAATTTCTGCAATGTCCCAATTTTTACTATTATTTATAGTAAGAATAGAAGAAAGATAACAAAAGAAAGACAAAATTTTTACGCTTTTTCTGTTCCGAAATCCGAAGCCAGCTTCGAATTTATTTTAAGATAACAAAAGAAAGACAAAATTTGTATTTGATGGACCACAGACAAAACCAAAGGACCACTTCACAAGCTACAATTGAAAAAAAAAAAGAATATAAGCGAAGAAACATAAACACTTTGCATCACATATGCTTGATTGCTTGATGTTGTTTTGTATTAATGCATGCCCACGAGGCCACGACATCCCCAGATTTTAGGTTTTCTTTTCTTATGAACACGTACGCACGTGTGAAGTGTGATTATCATGGGGATTAAATCAATGAACGAAACAGTAATTTATACTAAGCAGATTTTTTCTTGTGGAAAAAAGGTGACTCGCCTTTTATATTTACCGAGTCTAAATCATTCATATTTTCTGCAAAAAAAAAAAAAACAGATGTGGTAGGTTATTTTTTCGATGTTCATGCAAGTCTATGCATTATTATTGCTTGTGAGGGCATTTTAGCAATTATGTTGGAGGCTTGTTTGAATCTAGAAGCCGATTTGATACTGTGAGAGTGTGAGCGTGACAACAATATAGACACTCATATGTCTACTGTTTTAATAACTATTCTTTCTCACTGTTTCAAGCGACATTTCACAACATTTATTCCTCAAGATAATTTTAAATAATCATAATTGACTTTTTGAGATCCATAAAGGCTTTTCATTTCTTCTATTTTTCCCGGCCAAATCACTTAGAAATTTTGTTGTATTTATAAGGTTTTTTTGGTGCAACAAAGACTGAAGAAACGAACCCTTGTCTAAAAAAAAAAAAGACTGAAAAAAACAAAAAGATTCAATAGTTCTGTGCTCAGATTTCTCTTAACAAAGCAAGCTTTGGTGGCGCTATTTTGTCTACTTTTCTAACAGGTACGTTGGTATGTTTTTGTCAATTTTTATACTTTTAAAAGCTATACCAGTATGTGCTTACATAACAACACACATGACGCAAAATTCGATACACAACACAATAAATATCAAGCAAATCCAGTACTAATAAATGAAAGTTGATGAAACTCACCAACTCACGGGAACAGTCTTTATTGGACATACAGTATCAGCTTCAATAAAATACAAACTGATCCAATCATTTAGTCATTATTCTTTGTTAATTTTGTTTGGTTTCTTTCCTGCATAGTCATGGACTCGTAATGAAAAGTTCAGGACTAAATTCATTCTTATTTCTCGATTGTAACGATCATATGAAAACGTGTGACCAAGAGCCTTTAGATGAAGAAGGCTTCACTAAACCCAAAACTATATATATGTACGTGTGTATACGCCACCGACGGTGAGGACACGATCCGACGTGAAATGGAAGAAGCAAAACTCTGTCGTTTTTATATGGTTTGATACGAAACCAAAGCTTTATGTCAGTTACAAACTTTCCACCAAAGTGGTCCGATGGATATGTCAATCAAACCTGTCCATCAACGAAAAGACCTTTATTACTTTTTTTATTTTTTTTGTAACAAAAAAAAATGATATCGGATCATCGGATCGGGTTTTGTAGTAGACCCATGCAAAAATATGGGTCTTGTTTAAAATGGAACTTATAAAATGTTTTTGGTTTTTAAACAACTGCAGGTTCTATTACCATATAAGGAAATGATATATTTATATACGCGACTTAAAAGGTTCTTTATGAATATAATGAGAAGTGCGATTAGTCGAGTGGCCACTAAAAATTTTCCAAAGATTTTTTTTAATTAAGCACATGACTGAAAGCAATTAATTGAACAAAACAAACTGTTTCACTTTGAGATCATCTTGATGGTTGTGATCGACAAGGAGCACTTACCTACCGTGGACGTACATACAACGAAACAAAACTAGGTGAAAAAAAATCAAAAGAAGTGAAGCTGAAGTTTAACCGATCCGGTTAGACAACTAGATTCGTAGAGTGTCGTGTCGGCCACCGTAATTAAAACAGAAAAGCATTTTTTTAGGTCATTTACGGTCGTGCAACCTCTTTCATCACGCGGCCAATGTAATTTATTCTATAATTATAATTAAATTGTTTTCCAATCGAATTTTATTTCTTACATGTCTATATTATACAGTATTAGGTTTCTTTTGTTTAATGGCAAACCGTTAAATTTGATTTTATCATGAATTTTCAAGCAAAAACTAATTAACAATAAGTAAATGTCTCATATCCTTTATATACTAGTATTGATTTCTTAAAAAAAATTTGATATGAGGCCTTAACACGCTTTCTTGAAATATATATAAACTTTAAGGGAATTATTAGCCATTCGAAATTTCGAATTGAGTCTCACTGATAGATAATAAAACAAACAAAACAAAAACAAACAATACTCTAATTTTTAGTCGGGTCATCCTAGTTGAATCCAACAAAACAAACAAGACTTTGATACTATATATGTTAAAATTTAAATTTATCATACGTTTCAGAATAAAAAATAATTGATAATGAATCGATTGGCTTATTATGTGTTTTTATATAATAAATAGGTATTGATCTTTTCATTGTATACTTCTAACATAAACTATGTTTTTAAGACACTGAAAACGTAGTTACTATGTTCTATATAAGAATAAACAGTATATGGTAAATTCAAATTCTCACAATTAAATAAAAAGCAATTGACGAGTTTTTTTGATATGTTGATGCGGAAGATGGCTTTTCGCAAGTTTTAAAACCACGTGTTATACTGATAGCTGTAATATCACTTTTGCCGTTACACCGTATTACAAGAAAAAGAAAACCCTGTTTAGATGGGATAAATTTACAAAAATAAATTAAAATTAGACATGCTTATGCAATATAGACTTCTCAAGAGATCGTGAAACGTTATAAACCCGTTTAGTGGAGTACTGTTGTTCTTCATTTAATCATCCAATATTAATCTTCATTTTTCTCATAAAACTCAAGTTACGAATGCGAGATGTGCATGGGGGTGTTGCGCATCATTTGGATTGTTCAGACAAATATCTCTAGTAATAGTTTTTTTAGTCTGAAACCATGAGTGTTCAGAGACTACGTCCGAATTTAATAAGAATAATTAATGCAGTGAATATATTGTATAGTATACATATATATGTCCGTATGTTTTTATCGTCGTCAACAACAACGACAAATGATAGTGATCATAACTTTATATTCTTCTAAATTTTTGTTGTAGCAATTGAAATTCAACAACAGTAACGCTGATTTTTTTACTCTTCTCTCATTTTTTTGACTGACCATACCATTTTATTGTGCAACTACCATTTGCAACCCAAAAAATAAACTATATTTTAAGAAGCTATACAAAAATTTACCATCTTATAAACTGTTTTTTTGTAAACAACTGTCGACTTGATTAGCTACAGTCACATAAATTCTTTTAGCCTTTTAGGCAATAGTTATACATTTGAATGTGACAAAAAAAACAGTGTTGAATCACGAAGAAAAAGACAAGATGATCATAGTATATATTTTACCCGAATCGTATTCCTTAACACTTATGGCAAGCCCTTGAAATTCTTTTCTTCACTCTCCATTATATTATAATACGATAAATATATATGGAGTATATAAAACTGCACGAAATTAAAATACTAGTGAATCTTAGAGGACCCAAAGAAAAAAAATAGGCCTTATGTCTAAAGTCTAAACTCGTAATTTTCAAAAAAATTGTTGTTTAGCAGCAGCAGCAGCAGCACAAAACGTTTTGGTTTCTGGCCGCAATATTTACGATATTGCCCCCAAACCACATACACTTAGAGACCGACTCAGTAAGCCACCACACTCTATTTTCATCTCTCTCTCTCTCTTGTAGACGCACGCAGTAGAATTGGGGAAAAAGTTTGTTTTAAATTCATCTTTTTCTTCAGAAAGCAAGCGAAAGGCTGGAGGATCGAAGCGTCGTGCAGTGATCGTATCTCATTACGATCATATATACAAATGGATGGAATGTGCGGTTTCCGTTCGTCGGGAGACTACTCGGAGAAAGCGGCGATGATGATGCAGTCCGATTACCAGAACCTGCTTTGTTCATCCGCCGGAGACAACCGCGTTTTTGGATCCGACGAACTTTTCTCAGCAGCTTCCGCTTTGTCGTCGGAGGCGGTTTCGATCGCGCCGCGTGCTCGAAGAGCCGATGATAATTTCTCGCTCGGCGTCATCAAGTCGAAGATCGCTTGTCATCCTTTGTATCCTCGCTTGCTTCAGACCTACATCGATTGCCAAAAGGTGATCCCTCGATTACACTTTCAAAGATCAGTTTCGATGATTGGGGCTGTTCATATTTCGCGTCTCATGAATTTTGTGCTTTCAAGGTGTTTGAGATTAAGCGTCAGTGACTTTACATGTTCTATATATACGCCCCATGAAGAACTTGGATCATCATTGTTTTTGCTAATTTTACCTCTAAGATAGTATATTTTCTCTCGAAGAATCATTCAGTTTTTAAGCTGATGAATATGATTTGTTTGTTTGTGTTTTTGGTTATTGATTCACGCAGGTGGGAGCTCCTATGGAGATAGCGTGTTTGTTGGAAGATATCCAGAGAGAGAACGATGTGTACAAGAGAGATGTTGCTCCATTATCTTGCTTTGGAGCTGATCCTGAGCTTGACGAATTCATGGTTTTCTTTCGATTTTTGTCTCGCTCCATCTTTCGATTCTACTGTTCTTTCTCTTTCTGGAAAAAAAAAAAGTTGAGTTTCTTTCTCTGTGGTGTGCGATTCTAGGAAACGTACTGCGATATATTGGTTAAATACAAATCCGATCTCGCGAGGCCGTTCGATGAGGCTACGACTTTCTTGAACAAGATCGAAATGCAGCTCCAGAACCTGTGCACTGGTCCCGCATCATCTGCTCGAGGCTTTTCAGGTCAGCACTAAATCATCTCTTTTCTAGTTTGCTATTCTCTGTTCAATCTTGTTTTTAATGCTTTGATCTGTGTGTCCTTTGGAAACTCTTTGTTTAATTTCACCTTACAAATCGAGTGGATATGAAATTCTCTCCTCAGAACTTTCCCTTCGTTGCTAATAACTTTCTGACACATGCTTTTCTTTCTTCCTTTTTTAACACATTTTGATTTATTATAACGGTGGAGGAGCAAGATAAGATACAGTGGTAGCCGAAACTAGAAGCTTACTAAATCCAGTTGTGTGAGGAATATAGAAAAAACCCTAGTTTTGCAGATAACATTATTGATCGATTCAGTTGCATCTTTCATATTTTGCTGGCAGATTTTTCTTCAATGTCATGTGTTGGTTTGGTTTAGAGGTCGTTAGGGGCAAAAGGAGTGGATGGGATTTTCTGTGATCAATGATATTTTCTTCCTTGTGCATGATTAATTTGTTTTGGTGTGTCATACTTTTCTTTTGTTACTTTATATATAGTTGTATTATTATCTTCTCTGTCAGAAAGAAAATTGGTCTATGAAAGCAAAAAGTTTTGCGCTATAGATTCTGATTTTGACGTTTCAGTGTAGTACTGAAAGTTTTTTTTTTCTTTCAAGTTGAAAACCCAATGATAGAGAAAAAAAACCTAGTCATGAGTTTCACTAATAAATGCAACTGATTTTCTTGACCTTCATGTTTAGATCATCTAGAGTTGCTATTGCTTATGTTATTTTTATATTCACTAAGACTGATGGGTAAAAAACAAAACTTTATCAATTTATCCTAATCTATTTTTTTTTGTAGACAAAGTTTATTATTAATAAAGATCAATTTTTGTAGTGTATATTAATAGTTTATTGTGATGTGTGAAAACTTAATGAAACGCTCTTACAGTGAAACGGAAAGAGTAGTTAACAGTAGGCTAACTCAGCTTGTAAGCATATGGCCTTATTGTCCAATACATTTGAAGTTGGTGTCATCGATGAACTCGTGTGCTTATTTTTTTTTTACGAACCTCTCTCTTCACTTTTTACACCGCAGAAATGTCTTGATCAGGTCAAATGTTTGGATTTTGTGTTACTTTATCCCGAAAATGCGAAAATGCGAAAATAAAATTTCGGTAGATTTCAAGTTCCAATAATCTGATCTTATAATGCGCGTGGACATTATAATTAGTCATCAAAAAATGTTTTCTAGCCAAGTGACTGTAATTTTTGCATGGCGTGATTATAAAGTGTTTGTCGAACTTGTTGGAAATACTCGCGAGTAAATATAGGATTGAGATGCTTTAAGACACTAATGTTATACAGTACTATATTTATGGGTATTTGTTTCCAATTGTTTTCTGAATTCAGAAAATAGGACTTGGTGAGTATTTTACAAGCAGCCCAAATAAGGCAAAATTAGGTTTTTTCTTGAACGACTGCTTTAGCTAAAAAACCTTTCAAATATGGCAAAAGATTAGTCTTTTTTTAGTCTACAATAATCTATTAGCTAGTAGCTACGTTAGTGTTACCAGAATGCGTGTGTGTGTATTTATTTTTTGCCAGTAAAGATAAATCTTTCTCTAATATAATAATTTTAAAAATTATTATTAATCATTTATTTCTTCATCTCCACCTGATAAGTGCTAGCTGGAAAGAAATCGTACTTAAAATTGTGGGTTTCAGCTTTAATACGCTTCTTAGTATCGTGCTGTGTTTTGTATGCAGATATCAAATGCAGCTTCGGTTGTACTTTGTTAGAATTGTTTAATGTCGAAAAGTTGTTATTTCTCATCAACGAATTTAATTAATTGGAGCTTGCATAGGGAATCATGTCCAAAAGGTTTTAAAACAGATCAGTGCAGCTTAAATTTAGTTTATAATCGTATATTTTAATGGTTGGAAGTACAACTTACCTGTTTTTGAGTAATCTCATGTATGTTCTTTTTGATTTGGATATATATTACCTTCTGAACGTCTTTTCCTTGGCCAATAGCTTTTCCTGCTTCTTAGCTCTCGAGAAAAGAGTTTCTATTCAACTGAATTTATCTTAAACTAATAAAAAAAATGTATTCGTTTCATCTGTAGATTTCAGAGTCACATGCTTTCGTTTCTTTTCGTGCTAATATGCTTTAGGAGTAAACCAAATCTTCTTTAGTCCATTGATGTTTGTCATCAATTAACTTCAACATTTAGTTTTGCGTTGTGTTATATTCTATTCATACAGGTTTGATCTCCATGCATAGAAAACTTAGTAAGACTGGAATTGAAAACTTAGTAAGATTGCTGAACAAATTACTCTGCGAGGGCGCATTGGCTGAGCTCTATATCATGATCATTCTAAGGAACCTTGTGCATTGTCTTCGACATAGTATGATTTCTTATGGTAAACATGCATTATTCACGTACATACCCATAATATGTTTGGTTGTATAGAATATGCCAGGAGGATCATTCTATATAAGCTTAATTTAGAAACTTTTTAGGCTTTATAAGTTGTAAATAGAAGAGAAGTTTTAAGATGGGAAGAAAAGGGTTTGGTGCATAAGGTGGTCGGGTGTCACATGGACTCCCGTGCATTCCGCTGGTGGATCCCTCCTTGACCCAATAGCAACTTCCCCTCTTTTAAGCTTTTGTGTGTGTTTCTGATTTGATTTTGATTTTTGATTATAAAGAAAAAAAATGGTGAGAGAAGGACATGGGGTTTCACTTGTGTACAACACAATCATCTATGACTAAATGCTTCTCCACTCTCTTGCCATCTTTTTCAACTGTTTCTTAGTGGTTGTCATTTCCTCTGTGTGTTGTTCCCTTGGTGGACCATGCTATTATATCTACGTGTCTACATTTTTGTGTGTGTGTTATTAAGTATATTCTTTTTTTTTATTTTATTTATCAGTGCCATGCATGTTGTCTCTTTTGCTATGCATTATTTGATATTTTGAACCAAATTCGGTTAATAGGTAAAGAACAAACTAAGAGCATGTCCATCGCTATACGGATGGAGAGTCTCTTAACAATTAATTATTATTATTTAAAAATAATTTGTATAATTAGTTAATCTTTAATTTTAAAATTAAAAGTAAACCACTTATAGGATGACAAGTATCATAAATGTCTAAGATACGTATGTAAAAGTTGTGTTTGGAGAGATAGTTTTGAAGGGTTTTAAACTTTTTACTGGAGATGGTCTAAGTTACTGTTGCACATGCTTTCCACAACTAGCAAAGGTTTTAATGGATGGGTGTTAAATATCTTTGTCTGGTATGTCTAGGGATCAGCCCATGTTTCTATGCATTCAAGATGTTCCTTGCATGTATAGCAAAACCAGAACATAATAGTGATGTTAATTTTAAAACAACCGCTTATTTTCTATATATAGTATCATATATATCCTCCTACAGTATTTTGCTCATTTGCATTAATCAAAGTTAGAAGATTCATAAAATTAGGCTCCGTCTTGGGTAGCAGCAACATTAAGGGTTTAGTGTATGATCATTAAAAAAATGTTGTGGAAGCGTTATTTCCGGGGGGTCGTTCAAAACCTCAAAAAAGCTCAGAAAGGTAACACGTGTCGTGACTTAGGTGGGCAGTGGTAAGCCCCAAGGAGCACTTCGTCTTCTGACAAGTGAAAATGGAAGCTTAACTGTTCAGTCACTCACTACGACAGTTTTTTTGACTGATCAATTTATTCGCCCGAGTATTGTGAAGCCTCTCTATATCTTTGTTTTTCCCCTTTTACCCCTAAACCCTTTGGTTCTCCTCTTTATGCTTTTTTTTTTATATATAATTTGGCTCTTATCTTGTTTTAGCTATTAAGGCCACTAAGCCACTTAGCCGAGCTAACAAGTAACAACGACAAGTATCTAGTATTTGGCTATATTAGCTATGTTTTTTTTTTTGGATGAGTATATTAGCTATGTTTGGTAGTGCTTTCTAATTGGCCTTGACTGTTTGTAGTTTTAGAATAGTTTTTGATTTTAGTTTCTGAAAAACTGTTTTTTTAGCTATTCAAGTTTTTAAGTAAATAGATTCTCTAAATTATAGGAAAATTAGTTTTTTTATGGTTTTTAGTATTTTACTAACAAAAACCAAAACCATAATTTTTGAGTTTTGAGAAGTTACCGTATTATTTTTCGTTTTTAAATATATGTATATTTTTATAGATATTTTTTGGTATTACTTATTAATTTCATAAGAAATAATATTTTTATTAATTAATAAATTATATTTATTTGATTTTGGTACTGTTTGGTAATACTTTAAATATTTAATGCAACAAAAACTAAAACAAAACATAAAACCATATCTTATAATTAAGTCATTAGCTTATATTAAAAAATATATATGTAAAAAAATCAACACTCAAGTTTTTTCTAAAACTAAAACCTACAACAACAAAAAACCAAAAATTTGAAATCTAAAATCAAAAATCAGAATAATATATTATTATTGATAAATCTCACACAATTGTTTTTGATCATTTAAAGCACATAAAACAAATTTTATCTCTATTTTTTATAAACATCTCTAAAAAATGTGCAATAATAAGCTTATTTTATTTTAATTTTATGACACAAGCTTAGGTATATATTTATTGATAATTTTATCATTACTTATATTTTTATGAATTTATTAACAATAAGTATGTTAAAAGCTAAAACTAATAAACATAACAACATTTTTTAAAAAAAAAAAATGGAGGTAAAAACCAAAAACTAAACAAATTACCATTCAAGTTTTTTAAAATCCAAAATCTACTGCAAAAACAAAAACCCAAAACTAAAAACCAAAACTCCAAAAATTTAAAACCAAAACCAAAAACTAAAATCTAAAACTAAAAACTACGTAAACATTCATCACCTTATTAAACTTTCTTCCCCTAGTGGCAATTGGCTTTCTACATCGTCAAATTTACTTGTTTGTTGATAATGTGTCACGTTTTTGGCTCATACGTGGGAGATACGCTTTCTCGATCTTCCAAATGACAACAATATTCTTCTTAATTATGTGAACAGATGATGGTGCGGTTTCATCTGACGAGGAACTGAGAGAAGGTGATGACGTCACAAGGCAGGACAGCCAACAAAGAAGCAATGACCGGGATCTCAAGGACCAGCTGCTGCGTAAATTCGGTAGCCATATCAGTTCATTGAAACTCGAGTTCTCGAAGAAGAAGAAGAAAGGGAAGCTACCAAGAGAAGCAAGACAAGCATTGCTCGATTGGTGGAATGTTCATTATAAATGGCCTTACCCCACTGTAAGTGTGTGTTTTGAGCTTAACCTGCATAGTGCATACTAATGCTAAATCGTAGGCTCTAATATATAATTGGTGTGTGTTAGTAACAATATTCACATCTCAACTCTTTTGAAATGCGTGCAGGAAGGCGACAAGATAGCTTTGGCAGAAGAAACGGGTTTGGATCAAAAACAAATAAATAATTGGTTTATAAACCAAAGGAAACGCCATTGGAAGCCTTCAGAGAACATGCCGTTCGCTATGATGGACGATTCTAGTGAAACATTCTTTACCGAGGAATGAAAAAGATAAAACAAGACATAATGCGTTTGTATAATTTTTACATTGTTTTGCCAAGAAAGAAGAAAAAGAAGAGCAAAAAGGCTTTGGCAAATGAAAGGAAACTCATAGGCCAAAAGAAAAGAAAAGACAAAAATGATTAAATGTACGGACGAGGGTTTAACGAATAACAACCCTTTGTATTTTCAATTACTGGGGAATATTATATCACAAATCTTTCTCTGGTCCAAAATGATGGCCTCTTTATTTGTGTTAAACCTTAATTAAGGTAAGGTAGATTGATGTGTTAACTAATACTTTGTTTTCGTCAAGTTTTCTTTTAACTGTTCGCAATCAAATTAGATTTATATTCGGATGGTGACACACATGAGTTGTAAACTTGTAATCTGAAGAGCATGGTTGAAAATGAAATAACATATTCACAAAACTGAATAACTAAAACCTTATACATGTCTTCGAATATATATTCTTTGGGAAAAATTGAAGAAGCGTTTTAAATTACATATAGTGATACTGACATTATAGGACGTAATAGTATTCAAGGTTAATGGTATAGACGAGGTTTGATTAAATACCGTATATTTGTTTTATATGGGTCTTAATGGGGCACAGTTAGCCGTCATGGGTCAAATGATATCACTAGCCCACGAAAAACAACTAAAAGCTCTTAAAACTGACTTCACTCTGTCACGCCCTTCCGGTAGGCTTCACCGGAGTCCGCCCCGCTGGTTTCCGATCACGAGGAGACTGGTGGTTAGTTGTGCCGGCTGATCGGAGGCAGAGCCGTGCCTAGGCTAGTAAAGGCCGGAGGCTACAACTAAAAATGTTCAAAAACTCATGTGAAACCAAAAGTTTTTTACTATTTACAATAAGATTTTCTATTAAAGTATTTATTTTTATTCGTTTATTTACAATAATTTTGGATAATAAATTTAAATTTTCATAAAAATGTTAATAAAAGAAGAAAAATAAACAGAGAGCAAGCTTATATGAATGATTTTGAAAAACCGGTTCAACAAAATGTGGTCTTAACGTAAAGCATTTAAAAATCAGACAACACTATTAGTCTAAATAATGCAATGATAAAGTAAATAACTATGCATAAAATAATTTATTAAAAATTTAGGATCTAAGAACACATTTTATATATAACAAAAAAAAATTCTTTAATATTATTTGAGAAAATGAGGCCGTAGGCCAATGTTTCCAAATCATCAACGTAGGCACGGCCCTGATCGGAGGTAGCTCATCAGCCGTATTTTTCAGGTCTGCGATAAAGTTTCCCAATTTCTCTCTCTCTCTCTCTCATGTGTTCTTTGGTTATCTCTTTTTTCTTCAAGGTTGCCTGACTAAATTCTGACAACAGGATAAAAGATTTGAGCTTTGTGTTTCCATGCAATACACATTCATTATCCTCTGTTTGAATCTTTGAAAGGCTTCTCGATTAAGTATGATTCTGGAAAAAAAAAATGTAACGGAATAGTTCTTTTTTATGTTGTTTCCTGTGCATTAGTACATAAACCAACTTACTATCGTCCATTGCATATCTTCATACGGGTATACAAATTACTCAATTTCACATCTCTATATCTATACTAGCTAAGTTTCTCTCGCTGCTTTATACACAACAATTTTATCTGTGCTCAACGATGTTTCTGTTGTTCTTATACAGTCTCTTCAAAGGCTCATCGACCGTAAAAGGAGCTTTGCGAAATGGTGGCAAGAGATGCACAAGCAGCTGAATCGCCATCAGAACCATCTCGAAACTCCATGACTCTTTCATCCATAAACGGAGGATTACTCGGCAACGGCAAGATCTCCTCTTTGTTCTTTAGCATCTGCAACACCTTTGACATCGATGGTCTTAGCGATGCGATCTCTTGAGTGCACAAGAGCCCTATTTGAACAACCCTCACTATCTCCTTTTTGATGATGATACTGTCACTCTGATTCCTCCAGTTCAGGTTTGTATCATATATTTCCTCCAAATCTCCTGACTGAAAATGCTTCCATGCCTTTTTTTTTTATACAGCCACAACATAACACACCAATCAATATGAGAAGTGAAAGACGAAATTAGTTTTGCTTTTTTAGTGTGTGTGTGTGGTCTAACTTACTTCTGTAATCAAACTGTCTGAGTAATCTGTCATTTTGCTTTTGGTGTTCTGCTTTCCAGTGACAATCTCTAGCACAAGAACTCCAAAGCTGTAGACATCTACTTTCTCCGTGAGCTGACCATGAGCCAAGTACTCTGGAGCCATATAGCCTCTGCAGATTCACAAAAACATATAAGTCTCTGAAGCAACAAAAAAAAAAGTCATGTCTTTTGAAGAAAATGGAGCCATTATAACTCAAGAATACTTACAAGGTTCCTGCAATGGCGGTGCTGATATGGCTCTTATCCTCCTGGAAAGATCTGGCCAGGCCAAAGTCGGCGATTTTAGCTTGAAGCTTTGAGTCTAGCAGAATATTGCTTGCCTTTATGTCTCTGTGGATAATTTTGACAGTCGACTGCTCGTGCAGATACACCAATCCTTCAGCTGTTCCGACAATGATCACATATCTTCTCTGCCAGTCTAGTGTTTTGCCTCTGTTCACATCTGGCAAAAGTCATAACGTAAGTTATGTGTTTCGTGTGATTCTGACTTTTTGGGATCCGAAAGAATGAAACTCATTGGAATAGTGTTTTGGTGTTACCGAAGATGAACCGGTCAAGGCTCTTGTTCTGAAGGTATTCATAGACGAGGAGGCTCTCTGGTCCTGAGCAGCTGCAGCCAAGCAGCCTTACAAGGTTCTTGTGTTCAACAGTGCTGATAATGTTGACTTCGTTGTAGAAATCTGCTGCTCTGTGTCTGTTGTTGAAGAACAAACGTTTCACAGCGATATCTCTTCCGTCATGAAGAACCCCCTAAAACCCCCACAAGAGAGATGCCACTGGATCACTCATTTGCTTCATAACAAATGAAGAAAGCCATTATTAGATCATATGTTCATCATACCTTATAGACAGTTCCAAATCCGCCTTGTCCAAGCTTGTTCGCGCTGTCGAACGAACCTGTGGCCTTCTCCAATGTTGAGTACTTGAAGTTCAAGCTGCTGTCTGTTAGCGTTTTCGCCATTTTTTCCACATCATTTGATCCTGAAGAAGAAAACACCAAAAACTTTGGTAAAACACTTCTTTTAACTCGATTCAACAGAAATCAGAAATTTAGGCTTACCTCTTCTCTTCTTCTGAATGGTTCTGTGTTTGCAGATATAAACTCCTATGGCTATTCCAACCATAAAGACAACCACAGAGCTAAGAACAGAGACCACAATCACCACTACAGAGGCTGCAAAAGTCAGAGAAACGGTTAGTCATGATCAAAGCTCAATGCAGATTCTATAGAAAAGCATATATCTTTCTCTATCGTCACCTCTGGATCTTCCGTTTCTTGGTATCTTATTCAAGAAATCTTGATCAGAGTACCTAAGAAAACATCCAGTGTGAAGCGCACGTCCTTCAGACCATGGCAAGCACTGTTTGGCCACGGAAGCAGAAGCATCCTCCAAACACTGTTTACAAGACGCAGGACTCAGGTTTCTCCAGCAATTCGCCAACACAAACGCAGAATCTTCAGATTGGCCCGCGTTTGCAGACGCACGAGCGTACCCTCCGTTCCCAGGAGCCTCATCAACCGCGTTTCTCAGCACTCGTCTCACGGCGTCCCCGAAAGTCGCCTTCTTTCTCGTCGTGTTCCCACACAGGACGCTATCTTCAGGTCCTCTGAATTCGTTGTAGAAACTGTAGTTCTCAGCTCTCATGAAACATCCGTCGAGGAAGATTCTACCTCCGTTTTGAGGATAACACTGCGGAAGAATCGTTCGCGCCTCTGCGTAACAGAGGACACAGTCGTTTAAAGGGAGATCTCCGTAGCACTGAGCGAGGCCGTAGTTAGCGTCTGGTCCTGAACCGGTGAGAGCGACTCCGAAGCCGTTGGTTTGCACCTGTTGGCTGATTTTCTCCATCGTGGCTACGAAATTGGGGACGTATACGGTTACGTTGTGCTCGAGCTGCGGTGAGCAAGTGACGTTAACTTTTCGAGCCCTTGCGTCTCCAGTGATTGGACAGACTAGCGAAAGAAGAAACATCAAGAGACATTGAAGGTAGGAGAAATGAGTTGGTTTCATTTTGGTTGATTGATTGAAAAGAGATCTCCTTTTTTGATTCCGGATCAAAGGGTTCTGTGTTTTGTTTAAGGGTTTGAAATTGAGAAGGAAGAGAAGCAGAGGTTGAAGGAGGAATGATGAAATTGAGGAAGTTGAATTTTCAACAGCTTGACTTCTGTTCAAGTGGTTGTGTAAAAGTCAACCTAATCTTCTCTCTCTCTCTCTACTGAGTTAGTCAAAAAAGTAATTTTTTTTATTTGAGATTTTGGATTTCTTCAAGAGGAGAGAGAGATATACCTTATGTGACTGTGGAAGTTTCTTCTTGGTTTCACACTTGGAAACCAGCTCGATCATGTTGATGTTTGAAGTCGTTGTCTTCATTGAAGAATTTGTCGGTTTACATAAACCTAAAAAACGGTGGACCAATAATTAATTGAGCTCATCTGAAAGTAGAGCTGGTTCGGTTTAATTGAATAACCCCTTTACCGAATTCGATTATCTGACATAAGTACTATCGACAATTCGACATTCCTCTCTTCATATTCAAGTTTCTGAATATTTTAAGATCAGCAAAAAGAATTAGAAGGAAAAACTTCACATGTCCTTAGTAAGACGGCGTTCAGAAAATAAGATTAAGAAATGTCAAATGGATAAACTGACGTTAGAATACTTTAAATAAAGATATGGGTTTGGTATGATGCAATAAAGTTCTAGAAATTTAAAAACAAATTACCATTTTCTAGTTGCCATTGTCAAAAGTTTTATTCAGTAAATATAACGCAAATTGAGAGTAAATGGATATTCAATGCTGAAAATGTTAAATTAAGTTGGTTAGAAACTTAGAATAGACACAGCTTATTCATAACTTTTCAGTAACTTGGCCGGAGCAAAAAGTACATACAGTATAACTTAATTTATGTATATCTTCATGACCAGAAACATTTATAATTTAAAATGTATAGTAAACAATACACTCACACAGCTCAGTATCTAATTCAACAGCGAATTTGAGTTCTCAAGTATTATCAACCCTTGTCGATGGTTTTAAACGGTTTTTATTTGCATTTGTGGTTAAATATTATAGGAAATAATTTTGTGGAAGTAAAACGCCAAAGAGTTGTTGATTAGTTTAGCATTAAAACACTATTATAAACTTGATAACAAACGTAAACAAAACAATCGTAATCTTAATCGTACTATAAATTATAAACAAAGCTAATGAATCGTAAAACTAATCACTTAAATCCATCATGTACCTACACTTCTTGTTCATTTCCTTAGCTTATATCATATTATCGTGGCTCATACGTAATATAATCTTCAATTAACAAACGATTAAATTGGCTTTGTACATATGAAGTAATATATGATATAGTTTGAACAATGTTTGTACTGGCATCTTAATTTTATTCATTATTTATTGTACTCGCATCATTCAATTCATTAATTCTATTAATTCTCTGCTATCTTGTTGAACAATTTTAACTTGGGATGGGTAGAGTATGTAAAATTCTGTAAAAATTCTTTAATCTGACTTAGATCTTCGGATGATGATTTTGATTCCTTATTTGTAGTATGTAAGCTCGATCGAACATAGAGACTATAAGCCAACTCTTTTCTGGCCTACACGATTTCTGACTCCACTGACTCAGTCTACTTCGAGTATAAAACAGACTATTTTGATACAATTACAGACTAAGGAGTACTTGGATAAGAGACTACGGAAAAGCTTAGCACTGTGGCCACACTACAATATTCAACGACGTGCCTACCATCTTGCTTAATAACTTCACCTCAGGCTGGAATGCTAGCGTTGAAGGTTTAAGTCCTATCAAAAGTATCAACTTAGATGATGTGTTAACCGCCATTCGCTTTGCCTCGTACAGTGCGGGTCTAGTGTTAGATTCTCTAATGGACCAGACTCTGCAGCATCTACCCACATAAGAGTATCAAGACCTGTTTGGAGCATGGTGTGTGGCCGGCTTTTTAGCTGGGAGGTGAGTTCTCTAACCATTGATCGCATATTCTAACAATTTTCTTACCATTTTTATATGTATTCCAAACGTTAATGTTTTTCTGTTTTTGTCACAGGTACATGTTGGAAAAGTATATGTACGAGAAAGAGTTGGAGATGACTGATTTTACAGATTTTTTTACACTTACTCGATTCTGAGCTTGCTTGTTTCGAGCTAACATTTGCGTTTTTGTTTTTTTTCTTTTCGTTAAAACTGTACATTTCAATTGTTTTAGAAATTGTATCTTGCACATTTCAATTGTTTTAGAAACTAATTTTGTGAAATTAAAACTAATACAAAATTTAGTTATCTTGCACATTGCCGTGGCTCATACGTTACCATTAATTAGTTACATACTATTAAATTGGCATCTCATTTTTTTGTACATATGACACAGATTCAGAGCCATCACAAAAAGATTCTGATATAAACCGATCTAAAAGCTCATCTAGGTTCGAAGAAACTCTCAGATATGTTGTTAATACTCCTCGAACCCGAAGACTGAGACTGATCTTGATGACGAAACTCTGTCGTGGGAGACATCATCTTTCTCATCTCTAGTACACTCCCTGGATTCAGAAACGGCGGTTGCGTTGGTGTTGGAATCTCCAAAGTCCCTTTCATCATTCTCACAACCGCAGACATCGCAGGCCGCTGATCAAACGCTGCTTGAACGCAGAGCAGCCCGATCTGGAGCAACCGTGACGCTTCCATCTTGTTGAAGTTATCCCCCAGAACTGGATCCACAACCTCGACCAGATTGCTTGTACCGTACAGAATCCATACCTAAAGTATTTGTTTTCAAGATTCGAAGAAATGGGTTTTGAGCTAAAATCAAATCCCTCGAGAAAAAAGCTAATTACTTTTAGAGAAAGTTACCGTTTGTAGGATCGAACTACCGTCTTGTGAGAAGGCATTGTTACGTCTTCCGGTTATAACTTCAATCATAAGAACTCCGAAACTGTAAACGTCTGCTTTCTCAGTCAGTTTTCCTCGTACCACATATTCTGGCGCCATGTAGCCTCTGCTCCCACAAATGAAATAAATATTCAAAATACAATTTTTGCCTTCCAAAAAACGCAAAACCGAAAAATGGTACGCATGTTACAAAAAAAAAAGAATATAGTTTGGAGACTTTACAGTGTACCGGCGATGGCGGTGCTGATGTGAGTCTTGTCCTCAGGGAACAATCTAGCCAATCCAAAATCAGCGATCCTCGGAGTAAAATCATGTTCCAAAAGTATATTACTCAGCTTGATATCTCTATGTATGATTCTCAGATTAGACTCCTCGTGAAGATAAGCCATTCCTTCTGCTGTGCCAAGTAAAATCTTGAACCTTTTGACCCAATTCAACGGTGGAACATCTTTTCTTACTGAACCAACAAAAAAAAAAAAGCAGTTAGAACCATTGGGACACAATATCCACAAGAAAAAAAGGGTTTAGGTCTTTAAGTTGAGAAAACAAACCGAAAAGATAGTCGTGGAGGCTTTGATTTGCAATGTATTCATAGACCAAGAGACTCTCGGGTCCAGTTATGCTACATCCCAAGAGCTTCACAAGGTTTTTGTGGTCGATTTGGCTAATCAGATTGACTTCGTTAAAGAAATGATCAACCCATTGCTTTGTGTTGAAGAACAGTCTCTTCACCGCAACAGTCTTACCGTTAGTAAGCACTCCCTAAAAGGCCAAACAATTAAGTAATTGAAGAGTAGGAACAATCCGAAAGAAGAAACGGATCATAAGAACACAACTTACCTTAAATACAGAACCAGATCCTCCTTGTCCTAGCTTATTCTTGTCGCTGAAGTAATCTGTGGCCCTCTCGAGATTCTCATAGGAGAAACAGAGATTCGATTTGTTGGCAAGCATGAATAGTGACCCTAGTTGCTTCTTCTCTACATTTACATTACACAAGACAAAAAAAAAAAATATTTATCAAACTCCAATGACTAACCTCGAAAACTAAATGATTCAACAAAGAACTCGATTTGGAAACATTGAGAAGTCACACAAACCTCTTTGCTTCTTGGCGCGTTTCTTTTTAAGCAAGAAACCAACAACAGTGACCAACAGAACCAAAGCCACCACCGAAGATGTTACCGCCAAAATCACAGCCAAATGGTTATGACCTGATCAGCAAAAATGTTGCTTATTAAGGTTACAAACATATACTAATTCTAATCACATTCTAAGCTTATCTACTTACCACCATTTCTTCCATCTGATGTGGAATTTCCAGAGTTATTGTAAAACTTCTGAGTAGAAAACCTCATGTAACAGCCAGCGCTAAGAACTCGACCTTCTTCTTTAACCAAACAAGAAGCAATTTTCTCTGAAGCTTGACCTAAACACTCAACACATCCACTTCGATTAAGAGGCTCCCAACACTGAGCCAAACCATGAACCGTCACGTTACGTCTCTCCACAAATCCAGCATAGAATCCGCCGTTCCTCACCGCCTCCACGCTCATATTCCTCACTAACTCCGCCGCGTTATCCCGGAACAGAGTCCGGTTTACTCCGGTTATCTCCTTGTCAGCACAAACCGTCCTGTCGTCCTGCTGGCTTAACGTCTCGTTGAAGAAATTGTAGTCGTCGTACCTATCGAAAATCAAAGATAAAGATACCGACTTTAAATCAAAGCTCTTGAGATTAACAATTTCAGAACTTTTGCAATTGAAATGTGAGATGAGACCTGATGTAGCAACCATCGGAGAAGACTCGACCACCACGAGTGCCTCGTTGAAAGGGCAAGCAGATAGGGACTTTAGCTTTGATCTGAGCGAAACACAAGTCGCAATCTTTCTTGTCGAGATCCTTCATACACTCTCCGTAAGCGTAGACGGTTATGTTTCCGGCGCCGTTGACTACTTCTCCGTACCCTTTAGCCTCCACAAGTGGAGAGACGGCGTCCATGGCGGCGAGGAAAGTGGAGACGAAGAGAGTTCTCTGCTGCGGCGGCGTTGTTCTGTTGGTGCTGCATACCTGAGCCACGGTCGCTCCTCTGGAATCGGAAATCACAGGGTTTAAGAACAAACCCAGAAGTAGAAGAAGAAGAAGAGTGAGAAGATGAAGGGAGGAGATAGAGAGATTAGAGATGAAAATCGGCATCTGGGTTTTTTGGGTTTAATCTTTGTTTTTTCCTCTGTTTTTTTAGTTTATCTTCAAACTGGTTTGGAAATAAGAGAAAGGAGCAAGAGACAGGATTTGAGAAGTTGAAATTCGATTATCTTCGATTGCGGTTGTTGGGTCAAACGGAAAAAGAAAAAAAAACTTAAAATGATTCTCAATTGAGTTTGTCCTCTCTCAAGAGAGATGATGGGTGTGTGTCGAGAGTCAAAGAGAAGACTTTCTCTCTGACGAATTCAACGAAAGAGAACGATCGCATTTAGTGAAAAATGGGGAATAAACGACTCCGTTTTGGAGTTATAATTTTGTTTTGATGTATACGTTTTATTATGACGTCATTGCTTTTGTCACTATTGTCTTCAGCGCAACAACAACAGACGAAATAGTACTTACTAATTACTATCTGTGGCTAGTTTAGTTAGTTGTCATTAGTGCTGAAGTAGTTTCGAGTTAAGATAGTGTAACATGATTTCTAATTTTAATTTTATGTTACGTAGGACATTAAAGGAATAAATATTTACTAATTACACACACTGAATAAGTCCAATTCCAACAAATTTGAGGATCAATTCAGGTATTTTTCCGTATATTTTCAAAACGTCTTTTTTTTTGTAGTAGTAGTTGAAGAAAACAAAAGCAACGTAATGGCGTAAGCTATATGCCAGTGTTGCGAGGGTCGTTTGTAAATCAAAGCAACTTTTTAATGTTAAGAAAAAATCAAAGCAACTTTTTAATGTCTCTTTGCTTTTTATTCTTCTTTATCTCTACCATTGACCATCTTATTCAACCCTCAGATTTATCCAAATTTGCCGCAAAATTTTGGATTTCTGAAAGTGACAGGCTTCATATTTGTCAAACCTTCAATCATCCGCTTTTTGGAAAATGCGTTTTTGCTTTGATATTTTCTTATACAAAAAAATTCAGTTTATTAATAAGGAACCACGGTAATGTGCATATAGATTGTTTATGGTAAATATGTGATAAGCCTTTGTGTCTTGAAAGATGGCAAATATGTTTTTGGCTATGATCTGTGGACTAAACAGTGTTTTAGTCTCTAATAGGCACAGATTTTAGAAAAAGAAAACGTATGTAACTATGTACTAGGATACACTGAAGATGAGTCAAAATGTTTATCATATAATATTAGTTAGATCGAGAAGATTACAAAACTTGTCTGTGACGACTAATTCAACGCAAAGATCTCGTTTCGTCTGACGGATCTTAATATATAAAATCTATAGAGTGATTAACACGGTTTTGTGGAATTAATTGGTACAGATACAGAGTCTGACAATGAATGAAAATGAAACGGACAAGTCGTTACAACAAAGATCGATTGAGGAAATTGTCGGGATTTATCTGAAATACTTATAAATTTAAACCGACGGGTCCCGCCGTACTCGTCGCCGTCTAGAAGCAAAGCGACCAGCTCGTGACTATCAAAAGTCAGCGTCAACCCCAACTATCACAATTGAAAGCAATAATGCTTGTGATATTTATTTGATACTCTACTATCTACTTGCATTTATTTCTGCATTATTGCAAATACAAAACCGTTAACCTGATTAAGAATATTAAACTACTTTTTTGTCTTTGGAATCTAAACGAAACCGTGTATTGAAATGACAGTAGTACTGTGTTGTTTATTGATTAAACGATGCATTTTGGTCTACGATTTGATATGTTAAATGACCTTTTTTCCTCGGCCGACGAAACGAATAATTTCGTGCTTGTTGTTCACATTTGTCTTGTGGGCAACTTTAAAAAATCTATCTCTGACTTATGTTCAAGTTATGTCCACTAATCGCATGCTCGCCATCCATATTAAAACACCACGATCACTTTTTGACTTATATGATTATCTAATGATATGATAGTTTTAACGTCATCTTTTATATAGTAGTATATATAAAAACTATCGATTTGTATTCCCTCATATACTTAACCAACTTCTTCGAATTCTATTGAGTAATTTTTAGTGGATTTTGTTGAATTTTAAAATCTTATTGAATAGTTACATGATCTATATGTATAGCTTATTAGAATTGGTAAGAAATTCTAAAACAAAACAAAAAAAAAAAACAAATTATAGTTGGACATTCGTATGCTGTTTCTTTGTTATATCCATTTCTTAGCAAAATTTTCGGAGCTTATCACCATTTATATCAGTTTTGAAAAAACTTAAAAACAAACTTTGTTATTGCAATAGGTTCATGACTTAACATGCTATTTTCTATTTAACTATCAAATGTTCTATGTCAGTTTTTCACAGTTTTTCAACACATACATGTGGGGTACTTGTTTGAATTTGTTTAGATTGTTTTAATGAATATCATTCTCTACCGTGTCAATGGTGTTCAATAACTGATATAGTTCCACAAGTTCTAAAAGATGTCACTAGTCTACGTTTGACTTTGGTGGAATGAAAAGTATACTTATCAATCAGTGTAATGATTTCATTTCTTAAATGGGCTTTATTAGAGATTATGTAAGCATGGGAAAGCCCAAATCAGCATTGATTCTTCGCCATGGCAAGGGTATTGCGAAGCATAATCAGAAAAACCTTAATAGAAGTTGAGAATGTTATAATTCGCATTTCCTCACACAAAAGCAAAAGAAAACAAAAACCACAGAACAGCAAAACACATAAGACCCTTAATAACCAATCAACTAAATTTAATATGTCTCTCTTATTCACCGGTGACAAATTATTCCAATTCTTTTCTTCATAAGTATTTACTTAAAATACCCATTTTTCTTTAGCATATAAAATACCAAACTCCCTCTCTTCGTTCAAATAATCAACATTCAAAAACCAGTGTTCAAACACGACATTTATAATCTCACACCTTAAAAGAATAAACAACATATACCTTTCCGTACGTGAATAAACACATAACACGAATATATAACATGTCAACAAATCCCTACCTTGCCACGGTGGTTCTCCTCCTCCTCACGGCGAGCCACAGCGGCGTAGCAATGGCTCGCCCAATGATCCCAGGTGGACGTGATCCATGCTCCGTGTCGGATTTCAAGGTGCTGTGCAGATCAGTTGTGAAGGGCCAAAAGAACGTTAACGCAGCGACGGAAGTGTCCATAAGAGAGCTGATGAAAAGAACGATCAAGGCGAAAGAAGCCGCCGCGAGTGGCCGGAAAAGTGGCGGAGGGCTCGGGACTTGTTACTCAAACTACGATAGTGCGCTCAATAATCTACAAAAGGCGTTGAATGACATTAAGAAGAACGATGGTTTTAGCCTTAACATCAATCTTAGCGCATCTTTAACGCAGTTTGATACGTGCAACGACGCCATGGGCGTTGCTAACGCGTCGAATGATTTCGCTAAATCTACAAGCATTTTGCATGAAATGGCTGATAATTGCTTGGCGCTCTCTACTCTCGTTAAACAATAATGAATCTTTTGAGAAAAAAAAACAAAAGAGAGATGATATATTTTTGATTTTACGGTAGATTTCTTTGTTTGCTTTTTGCGTTTTTTTTTTTTTTTTGCGGGAGTTCTCGTTTCTTGATTAATTCCAGGAGATTCTTGTACAGTTTCGGTATATTTGGACATACTGTCTATGATTTGGTATTGTTTTTTGTCAAACGCGTAGTAACCTCAGGTTTTTATATATGTCAACGTATCTCAGTAGTCAAGTACCTCGTGCGTTTTTATATATGTCATAGTGTTTTTCCGGTTAACCGAGAGAATCGTATGTAAAAAACTAAATTAATCCCTATGACTGATGAAAAACCAGATTTTGATTCCACTTATTGTATGTCTAGTGGTGGTTGAACTTGAACCACTTATATTTATTATAATTTAGTACTTAAAAGGTATTTTTGGTGGATTACATTTTTTTGCATTCCAAAATTTTAATATGTTACGATAAATTTCATTTTTATTTATTAGAAAATAGTTTAATATCTGAATGTTGTTTTTTCAAAAACATATAATTATGTAATCTTTCATCATTCATTTTTTTCATTGGTTATTAAATTTGGAGGGGAAAAAAACAGGCCAGTTTAGTTTTTCTCATCACCTATTTTATTGGGCACATCTTTAGTGGGTTCTTTGTTTATTCAACTTTTGCAAGTTTTTTCTTATAGCCTTTCAAGTTATGGATATCTAACAAACACCTAGTAACATGCATAAACCAGTACAAAATTTCTAGACGTTTTGGCATAATTTAATTTTTAACTGAACGTGGAGTAGGGGAGCCAGATGGGTCGGAAGAGCCCATATAAAGCCCAATAAAACAAACCCCAGCCCCATTCGATAAGATGAGCGACGATAAGTCGGTCACATATGCAGCATCAAATCATCATGTGCATCATGATGATGTAGAGGTAATAATGTGCATGGTCCGAACCAAAATTTAATAATCACGCCGCTTTGTGAAACACCTTATTCACAAAATGATGAGTAATTATAGTCGAATGCTGCTGAATCGTATAGTATATATAAAAATATTCGACGGTACTTGCAGGCAAGAAAGAATACTTAATGGAATCTTGATTAACTCACACAAATAAAATTAAATTTAACCCTCGTGGAAGAAAAAGCTGAGCATGGGACGGCTTTAGACAGCATCATTGCTCTTACATCAAATTGTTGTATCCCCTTTAGCTTCAATATTCCTCTTTTTCTTCACCTTTTTTTGTTTTTCACATTCTCTTTCTCCTCTTTTAGTTTAAAAGAAACTAGACTGTCTTATGACCAAAAATAAAAACCTAGACTGTTTAAGAAAACAGATTAAATGCTATGTTTAATTTTCGTTATTTATTCGTTCACATAGAGATGGTGCAGTGGAATTTATGATGAGGAATCGGCCATGTTGAATTATGTACCTAGTTTTCTGGGGTATGAGAACGACAATGTCATGTTATAAACATTTTTCTTCTTGTGCCGACGGAATTTTTGAATCTACATCGATTAATGGAATTATATTCTCTATCAAATAATTATGTTCGGTTTAAAATCTGAATTCTTTGAAATTATCGCACGTATATATTGGACATATTAAATTTAACATCACTGAAGACCTGCAGGTCGAAGCTCATATATCTGATGATATGAATGTGTGTTACTTTTGTTTAGACTCTGGAAATGTGAAAAAGACCAAAACACTATTTGAGTAAAAGACAATTGGACTCTATATATTAACTAGAGTAAAAGACTTAGGACTTTATTATTTTACAATTTGAGTTGCAAAAACATATAATTATTTACGCTTTTCTATTGTTGTGAACTTGTGACATAGTAAAAATAACAATCGTTTTCAATTAAGTGCAAGTTTATGAAAGTAATTAACACCAAATAAATTTTTACAAGAACATAGTTTTGACATCTTTCTTTGTTATCGAAAAAGTTGTATCTTTTGATCCCTTATTTTCCTTCGGTCAGAGTCGGTCTGCGATCCGGTTTGGGCCGTTTGGCATCTTATAATATAGAATCTAAAACAATCAATGGTTCCGTTTGACCAAAAAAAAAAAAAAACAATCAATGGTTAAAGTTGTTTGCTTGTTTTTTTTTTTTTTTTTAAATTTCAATTTAATGCATGAGAATGAAAAATGTTACAAAGCCAAATAATTTGCCCCCGTTGTTTACTTGTTTCCCTCAGCTTTCTGCTCAAAGCTGAATGAATCCTACGAAGCTGTTAAAGTATAGCGAAAACTGAACCTTACGTAATGTTACGTCAAAAACTTTTGTAATTAAGCAGCTAAAGGGAAGTGATATTTTACAGTCTCGGATTAACGATCAAATAATGAAAATACAGTACGTAGTGATTCGTTTTGCAATTAGTGGTCGCAATAATTCTTCCCAATGACCATGAGTCATGATTCAGAGATTCACATATAATATATAAAAGCACTCCTTTGAGCCACCAAAGCTATTGCCCTTTGATGCCATTCTTTTTGTTGACAGGAATCAAATTCTCCCCCCTTTATAGATTACATATTCTTCACTGTTTGGATTAATTTCTTTATTTTCTACTTTCTAGTATTAACTTATAACATTTCCCTTTTTCTAGTTTTATTCGATCATAACTTATCATACTGATATAACAATAGAATTGCTATAGGCCACATGATAAGGTATGGATCGGATTCTTTATACTTTCTATGCTACAAGTATCAAGTATGTATGTATGTGTATGCACGCATGCGTATGCCCCAAGTTCAACGGTTCAACCACTAGCTAAACCCTTTTGGAAATACATCAAAATTTGCATTACTATTGTGGGACCCTTTTGGAAATACATCAAATTTGTATATGTACAAATCTTTAAAATTACACAATATGCTTGGTAGCACAAGTATGTGGATGAGTTATCGATCATGCATGGTAGAACAAATAAAATATTGACGGATGAATTACCAATTCCGTAAAATAGTACCAAAAATTATTTCAAGGTTAAAGAACACATTTCTACTGAATTTTTTCTGATTAACTATGCACTTTAACTTTAACAGCTGTAGAAGTTTGGGAGCAGAACTCATTTCCTTTTAAAGCACTATTCAGATTCAATTTTTAAGAATCGGTCTGCATACTTCGTTATGCAGTTGTGTTTACTATTCTCTCATTGTATCTATGTTATCAATAAAAGTCAGTAAATCAGTGTTCGACATATGTGTCTCATAAGCATCTTATTAAAAAAACTAAATATAAGGTATAGGATATGCATTTTTAGATATAATTACAATAATTTAGTAGCTTACGCTACTATCGTTAATGTGTCACCATCTGGATTTAAATTTTCATATTACATGTTTTTGACTTTTGAGAGAAAAAAATCTTAAACATGGAAAAATGCATATCATTTACTCTGGGTTAAAAGAAAAAAGAATTGGGATCAACTGCAACATCCAAGTTCAACACTCAATCATAAGTTTCCATATGGTCAACCCTCCTGATTCTGTATATAATCAATTCAAGCAACAAAAAAACATTATGGTAAATGGCTATAAAGAGACAAAACTTAGATGCCACAGTAATTTCTGAATAATTTTTAAAATGGGAGGGAGATGACCCATTGTGAATAAATGGTCTAACAAACGATCATCAATGTATATGTGTCCCTACGAGGACCGCACCCACTTAATTTCCCAACTTAAATACCTCTTGACCCCCTTTCATTATAATGACCCACTTATAATTTATTTATCTTAAAGTGTATGTTGTTGTGTATATTGTAGTTGTGTGATAATGAAATGTTATATATTTATATTCGAAGAAAAAATGTAATGTCTTTGTTGGTCAACATACATACGGTAGGTACAATACAAGTATGCATGCTTGATTAAATCACTCCCTCAGTTTTGAGAGACAATATGATTATGTTTTAAAGAATGGACACTCTCGAGTCTCGACAATTGAATTTCACAACTCGTACTATGCTATTATAATGCTTTTGAATCAATAAACTCTCTCTGCTTTCCGCAAATTCATAGATTTATATTTCCAGTTTTTGTGGTATATATTCTCTTCTTCCAGCTTGGAGAGAAGATTATAATCATATTTTAGCCTCTGATTAAAAAGACTACGTACCGTAAACGGTACACTCAAGACTTCTTAATTACAAAAAAACGACGCCACCATTTATATATGTTTGTTCTGAGAATTCATAATTAAAACATTTCATTGTTTCAGGAGCAAACATTGTGTAATAAAATATGTTTGCTTCATCTTATTTCTTAGTTACAACATGGAACATACATGTAAATTGTACAGTACTCTACATGACAAGAAGTGGAGAGAGAGTAACACCAGAAAGCAAAAAAGTTTGAAGAAACCCAAATTCAAAGGTACTCAATTTCATCTGAACTCTGGTCCCTTTCTTCAAACCAAAGAATGATCACACCAAATCCAAGTTTCCCTATAAATTACTATTCTCACATAAATATAAAGTTTACTTCTCTTTCTCCCTTTATCTCCCTGACTTGACTCTCTCTCTCTCTTCTTTTATCCATTTTCTTAATCTTCCTAGAAATCTGCAAAACCCTTGATACAATAAACTTCTGATTTTCATCACTAACCCCTGTATTTATATCACCTTATGCACCCACATGCCCAAAACTTTCGCAACACACAACCCTAATAAATTTTGTTTGATTCATTCTTTATTGTTTTTGATCTTCTGGGTTTTCTTAGAGAAAGTGATTATGTGTTTAATGTGTTTGTTGGGAGATGTGTCAGTAGCATCAAGAAGACGAACTACAATAAGAAGCCGTATTAAATGTTGTCTTTTGAATCACTCAAGAAGAAAACAACAACACAGCAGATGTTTTCATTATACTCCACACCAAATTCCATTCAAGTCCATTACGATGGTCTCTTTTAGTTTTCTCAGATTGATTCTATTACTCTGCCTCGTCTCTTCTTCCTTCTCCTACTCCACCGCTTCTCCTTCTAATTCTACTACTGCCGATCAAACTCTCCGGCCACAAGACGAGCTCCAAAAGCTGAAACTGATCAGAAAAGAGCTCCAGAAGATCAACAAGCCAGCCGTTAAAACCATCCAGGCAATTTCTCTACTCCAGTCTTGTTTCCCAAGTTGTCTACTTAATCAATGTCTAAATACAGATCTCTTCGTCGTTGACCTAACTTTTTCAACTGATTCGTTCCAAAACCAATTCCTAAGGGAATCACTCTGTTTTCAGTAGTCAATCAACATGCGAGTTTTTGTTACTCTGTTTTTTTGCTCTGTTTCTTCTCTCTCTGTGTTATGTCTAAAAGAAGTTATGTTCCTTGTGGTTATTGCAGAGCTCAGATGGAGATACAATAGATTGTGTTTCGACTCATCAGCAACCAGCTTTCGATCATCCTCTTCTCAATGGACAAAGACCAATCGTATGAATTATTTATCTTCTTTCTCCTCCATCTTTTTTCTAAATACCAGTAAATCTCAGATGAAAGAGTTATCTTATTTTAGGATCCGCCTGAGATGCCCAAAGGATATAACAAAGATGATGAATCGGATGAAGATTATCAGCTGTGGAGTTTATCCGGCGAGTCTTGCCCGGAAGGTACAATTCCGATTAGAAGAACAACGGAACAAGATATGCTAAGAGCAAGTTCTGTCCGGAGATTTGGTCGGAAAATCAGGCGCGTGAGGAGAGATTCCACAAGTAACGGACACGAAGTAAGTGCTACCATTTTCTAAAAATACTTATATAATTAACCAAAAAAAAGTCAGAGGTTTTAACCTTTTTATTCCCAATAAAGAAAAAGATTTAGAATGATACCAAATTTCAGCTTTTTCGTAATTCTTTGCACGACCATAACACTCACTTGTGTTGTATCCAAACTCAAATGACAAGTCTATTTTCAAGCACAAAGAAGAAGAAAAAGAAAGAAGCGTGACATAACATAACAAAGATTATTCTCTGTTCACATCGTAAAAAGATTATTCTCTGCTCCTTTTTTCTCTTTTTCTGTGTTTTACATATTTATATAACCAAATTCAGTGTTTGAGAATTTATTTGATTGGTAATAAAATAAAATCTGAAAAAATGATTGTAGCATGCGGTAGGATATGTAACCGGGAGACAATACTATGGAGCAAAGGCGAGTATAAACGTGTGGTCACCACGTGTCACTAGCCAATACGAATTCAGTCTTTCACAGATTTGGGTTATCGCCGGTTCGTTCACACACGATCTTAATACCATCGAAGCCGGTTGGCAAGTATGTCCTCTATTTTATTTTATTTTTAGATTATTTTAGCTAATAGTATTTCAATTTTTTGGAGACTCTAATAAATAAATTTTGGATTTCGTTGCACAGATTAGCCCGGAGCTGTACGGAGATACTTACCCAAGATTCTTCACCTATTGGACGGTAAATGTTTTAATTAGTTTTGTGGCATTTTTTCTTACATTATGCTTTTAAGTATTTTGAAATATAAGTAACATTTTGTTAACAATGGTAGTGATAGTGATTTTCAGTCCGATGCATACCGAACAACGGGTTGCTACAATCTGTTGTGTTCCGGTTTTGTTCAAACCAATAGAAGAATCGCAATCGGAGCTGCGATTTCTCCTAGATCTTCCTATAAAGGTGGACAATTCGATATAAGCTTATTGATCTGGAAGGTAATTTTTCTTCATTTCTCCATATATTTATGTATCCAAATATATACTAGGTGGCTTTAATTGGTAAGTATCGCTTAATGTTTTCATGATTAAATCAACTTTTTTTTACTGATCACAAATTTCAAACTGTATATATATCCTAAATTTTTTCTTGTTTACTCCATTTTATATAACTTTCTATATTGTGTATTTTAAAAACGTTACCAAACAAATCTAATAGTTAAGAAAGAATTCAAAAGCACATGGTTCACATCAATGTTTCCTGTGTCAGCCCAGCTCATTCAACTTGTACTTTATAAGATGTGTCTCCACAAAGTTTTAAAGACTTTCGATTTGTTTTAGTCATAATAATAACTATGCAAGTTTGATAAATATGTACGTATAGGATCCGAAGCACGGTCACTGGTGGCTTCAATTCGGGTCGGGTACATTAGTCGGGTATTGGCCGGCGTTTCTATTCACACATCTAAGGCAACATGGGAGCATGGTTCAATTTGGCGGCGAGATTGTGAACACCCGACCCGGTGGTTCACACACTTCGACCCAAATGGGAAGTGGCCATTTCTCCGGTGAAGGGTTTGGTAAAGCATCTTATTTCCGGAATCTCCAAATGGTTGATTGGGACAATACTCTTATTCCCGTTTCGAATCTAAAGATTCTCGCTGATCATCCCAATTGTTATGATATTAGAGGTGGGACGAATCGTGTTTGGGGTAACTATTTTTATTATGGAGGTCCAGGAAAAAACCCTAGATGTCCATGAAGAAGAATCAAGAAACGTTATTATTATTCTTGCATGTAGCAAACGAATTTTGGGATTTAAGTGAGGGACAAAAAATTAGGAATTTACAAGTATCTTTGCTGCTAGGTCATGTAGCTTGTATCAATATATCATCACGAGCGAACATAATGCTTTTTAGTTACAAAAATGGTAAGTATGAAGTTTGGTAGTGTTATACTTTTATTTCTTTGTTATTTTTTTTAAAGGAATGTGTGTGATGGCGTTACGGATTTTGTAATGTTTATATTGATTAGTCATTAGTGTTATTACCAACGTGTAAATGTTGACTATTCGTGCGTACCGAGTGTTGCTTTGTTAAGTTTGTTTTTTCATTTAATAATCTAAAAGTGAAATGCAGAATTAGAATTCTTCGGTTCGTCATTTGTGGACCAAAAGATAGTTCTGTGGAAATAGTATAACTTAGTTGTAGCAGAGACCAAATAATTTAATGGGAATGGTTATAAATGTAAGTTCTGACGAATACATGTCAACGACTGTCTATTTTTTATTGAAATTAATGAAGAATTAAGCAAGAAAGAAATTAGAGGTGGAGATGTGTTTACGTGGGACCATAAATTAAAATGCCGATTTTAATGGTCTTCATTAATCGCCCCACGTGCCTTCTTTTATAACTTTAGCTACAACACAAATTCCTCCAAAAAATTATTTGATCTAATTAAATACTAGTAACATTTTTGTTCCCTCAAAAAAACGTTATTTAATTTGAATTTTACTACTATTTTGAGTGTAACAACAACTAATAATGGTCCACATCTCAATTCCAGTTGTTTTCCACCGTTTTCGTAATGGGCCATGTTTAGTTTGTATATGAATAGAAATAGTTATTTTCAGATGCTATCTACAGCAAACTCATATTCATGGTTGGGCTTCACAATTAATTTGAAAATAGTATAAATAAGCTTCATTTGATTTTTGAAAACCCTCTAAAACCTAAATAATCATAACACTATCATATAGGGTGTGTAAAAGAAGTGTTGAAACCCCTTTAACTTCAACGAAAAATAGTGTTAAACAGAGTGTTATGAATACTTACGTAAGGCCCAGCTATTATTAGATGTTCTTTTCTGAATGTAGAAATATGGGCCTTAAGTAGACCCAATAGTCGTAATTGAAAACATTAGTATTGGGAGACTAGTCAAATATTTTTATGTCTAAAAAACGTTTGGTGAACGGTCTGCTTTGTGTGTTCTTTTTGGTTAGAAACTGAAACGAAACAGAAGTGTTTATAATCCGATTTGATTTCAAGTCAGATTGACACAATTTCAATATGATCTTCAGATTGGAACCAGATTAATTTTCGTTATAAAAAACTCCAAAATATAAATATACATGCAAATACTATGCTTTATGTAATATGGTTAGTTTTATATATACTTTTATTTTGAGTTATTATATTTTTGTCAACAATTTATTTTTTTAACCTTATTTCAGTGATACCATTAGAAGTTCACAGGGTCAATAGTCTACAAGGAGAATAAAAAACTTATACAACCTATTATGATACTACCAATCTCATTTGATGTAATACTTTCCTTGACAAACACATTTCCACCTTGTAACGTAATCACATTCGATGACTATAATTAGCTGGGTTATTTGGGCCAAAAGCGTTTTTCCAATCAACCAATTTTGGAGCATCTCCAATCTACTTCTATTTTAGAAGAAAAAATAAAGTTTAGAGGAAAATTCTCTCCAATCCACCTCTATTTTTACTTCTAAAATAGAGGTTGCTATATTTTCCTTTATATTTGGAGGAACTCTATTTGTTCCTCTATAATAGAAATGCACTTTTTTTTATTTATAAACTGGTCTCTTAACTTTTACATCTTTCTATTTTTATTTATATAACAAATAAAAAGTTAAATTAAATATTTGCATAATCTAGTTTGTATATATCCAATAAATAGCCATATATCTAACATATAAATTTAATTAAATTATAAAATATTATCTAACTTTAATAAAGTTTAATAAAATCAACATCATTTCAGACAATAACTATTATAAAAAAACAGAAACATTATTTACTTTAATTAACTATATAATTTATAAATGAAAGTGGTTAATCCTCGATAAAAAAAATGAACATGGATAGCAATATAGTATACACATGTACAATAATACGTCAATACAGTTACATTATACAGTTTTGTATGTTATTAAATACAAAAACTCAATAAATAAATAAATTTAATAATTTTTGTTATGGTTTGAGAAAATTTTGTGAACATACAATATAACTAAATTGAAAAATTCTCATTTATTTCAAACTAAATTATAAATAAAATGATAAATTACAATAATTTTTCAAAAATACAGAAAATTATAGAAAATGATAAATACTATATGTAAAAACTCAAGTTCGATCTACTAAAGAACTAGGGTTCGAGGGTTTCAAAGAGATTTTTTTATTAGAAGAAGCCAGAGCTTGGTTGAATACAACGGTGTTTAGGTCATCAGAATAAGAACGCCGACCTAAAACTGTTTAAGGAAATAAATCAAGAACTAGAACAGTCTGATCGCTAAGTTTTGCTCTAGGTCGATTGATTATTTTTGGATGCTTTGAGGAGTCGAGGACTTCCTGCATTTATAGCCGATCAGGTCGGTCTTCAACCTGTTTGGAATAGGAAACTCTTGTCGGCAAGGAGTTTCCTTTTTCCCCGGATCGTTAACAAATGGAAGATTTCCATTTATGTTGCCGACCTGGAACTTGTTATTACCTGGACTTCTGATCGGCGCGGTGATGAGGGCCAGATTGTGATTTTGGGCGCGAAAAGTTCCCGCCTAAAAATAATGTAGATTAGGCCCAGGCCCGCGTATGCAGAACTAGGGTTGACACGTGTCAAACCCTAGCAGGAGGAGGCGAAGGGGCCAATTAAAAATATGTAGAAGAAATATGAAAGGTCGCCGAGCTCATGATGACTCTCGGTAACCGTCCAGACCCTCTTATAAATAAGAGGACTTCGACTCTCATTTCTTCACTTCTGCATTCTTAGCGAAACTCTGTTGAAATCAGGTTTAATCTCTTCTCTCTCCTTGTTCTTTGCTTATTTTAGCTAAAAGTTTTTCCGATCAGACCTCTGCCGCGTTTCGTTTGTTCTCAGCCGCTCGATTTCTCCGATTTGCGAAAACGTCGTGATAGTCAGATATGAGCAAGTGTGTGAAGATCTGCGAGAGCCGACCAGAGTCGAGAGTGGTTATATCGGCTAAGGAGAAAGCCGACGAGATCGGTATTTCTCTAGAAGAATTTCTTCAGATGGAGAAAGACGACCAGGCCGTGAGAGGCCGATCAAAGGGAAAAGAAATCGCGAACGATGTAGCGTCAGATCGGTCCTCTGATGCTAGCGAGTTATCCGCGTTAGATCGAGCTTTCCAGGAGCGAGTCAGAGAGGAAAATCAGAGGGCAGCGGCCGAGCGTGTCCACGCGGATCAGGTCGGTGCTGTTTTGAGGAACGGTGAAGCGTCGACGAGGGAACCGTTCCTGATCCCCGAACTGCGAGATGAGACGGACGAGAGGGGCGGATCGAACGAGATGGACATCTCCGACGAGCTGAATACACTCATTGCTGAAGATGAAGCGAATCAGTTCGGGATTGTCGATTTGAATCCCCTGTTAAAAAGATCAAGAGAAAGAAAGGCGAGCCGAAACCGAAGCCGACTTGTGATAATCTCCATGGGGTATTGCCAACAAAATCGACTATGGAGTCTTTGGTAACATTGAAGGAAGAGTGTGATATCGGCCCTGAAGTCATCTTTATGATACCGAGCCCGTCAGAACGACCATGGGACGCTCCGGAAGGATGGTTTTGCGTCTATGAATGCTTTTTCAGGGATTTTCACCTCTGGTTCCCTCTTCCGAGACTGCTGTTGGAGTTTGCCGATCACAAGGAGATGCCGATCTCGCAATTCTCTCATTCGAAAATCCGTTTGATCGTTAGTATGCTGGTGATGTCGACCAGGCATAACATTCCTCTTAGTCGGGTTGCTTTTGATGCGATGACGAATACCAGGAGGACAAAGGAAAATTTAAGGAACCGAGGATCATACTATACGAGCATGAAGACCTGGTTCAACATAGTCACGGGTGGGCACAAATCGAAGGTCAACGATTGGAGGGATTATTATTTCTTCGTGCTGGTGAACGAGCATTCCATTGTTGACCGAGACATCGAGATTCGAACGAAATGGGCGGAGGTCATGGGTAGAGACACGTCCGACCTAAAGAATTGTTTAAGATCATGTTGTGAACTTATCTGATCGGTATCTTTAATTTTACAGGTAATAGGCATCTTTCATTTGTTGATGATCCCCTCGATATTTACAAGATTTCAGAATGATTTGCGGCGATCAGCGCAATCACCTGGCCGGAGATTACGGAAGAGAGGATCGAGAGGACAAGAGGTTGGTTCAACTTGTTTTGCTTATCTTTGTGAATTGTAAGGTCGGCTGACACTTTTCTAATTGCAGTTGCTCTACTTAGACACCAGAACCGGACCGACAAGATGAAATCACGCCCACTCAAAGATTTATCTGCCGACCTAGAAATGAGGTTTGAATCTCCGGGTGCCAAGGAGGCCCAAAATCCCCCGCCGTCAGGGTCTTTAGAACAGCACGGGAATCCGGTCGTTCCAGAAGGTGATCTGGCCAAGGCAAAGCGGCAGCCGACAAAAGAGATAGAGATTCGACCAAGGCAAAGAAGTCGGCCGATAAGAGAGCTGCAAGGAAGGCAGAGAAGGCCCGGAAGAAGGCCGAACTGAAAGAGTCCGCAGGTGAAGATGGGCAGAATGCGGACGATACTCCTGAGGATTTGCAACAGTCGAAGAGACCTCGGATTGATCGACAGCTTCATCGGTTTGGATTTTCCTATGACTATCGAGGGAATAGTCCATTGGTTAGCGATCCGGAATCCTGTCTCGACTATTTTCTCCGTTTGAGGGATCATCCGGATCTTCCTGCGACGGACCCTCGGAGCTTTATTCGCAGCGAGGCAATCGCGCGCTTCGCTAACGATCAGGCTAGGGTAAATTTATCTTACTGCTCTCTTCTGTTTCCTTTACATATTATCTGTTCTGATGATGAGATTTACGAATGCAGGCTCTGAGTACCGCACTGACGATGTTATGCGAGTACGATTGTGACGCCAAAAGGTGTCAATCCGATCATACAGAGATCAAAGCCGTGAAGGAGGCCCTTGAGGCTGAAAAACAAAAGAACGCCAAGCTCGAGGGCGCGATGCGGGCATCTGCTGAAGATTTGGCGAAGCTCCGTGCTGATAACGTC